CGTCACACTATTATCTCACATTGCGAACCGTCGCGTATCTTTGCTTTTGCCAGCGATGGGCGAAGCGCCGAGCTGGCGACACATGTGGGGCGCGCGGGTCAAGACGCCGTGCGACATGGAGGACGACGTGCTCGAAGACGTGATCAAGCACACGACGTCGCGCCTCGGGCAGTACGACACGGAGGAGTGGGAGAAGCACGGGCTCGCGGTCTGCGAAGACATCCGCGACCACCTCGACAAGGCGTGGGACCCGTCCTGGGTCGTGTGCATTGGCCGCAACTTTGGCTCGTACGTCACGCACGTCACGCGCAACTTTGTCTACTTTTACTACAACGAAAAGGCCATCCTGATCTACAAGGCGGGCTAACTAGGTGACGCATGTACATATAAACAAAATCACATAATCTCAGTCCTTTCTTGCTGGCATTAGTGGGTGTCGTCGCCGCTTGGATGACTCGGCGTCGTCACGAGCTCGATCGTACTCCAGTCGCCGCGCCCGACAGCGTTCTGCGCCCGCACCGAGACATCAAAGCACGTTTCGAGTTGGAGGCCTTCGATCGTGATGGCCTGCGTGTCACGCAGCCGCGAGTGCGTCGTCGTTTGGCTGCGCCACCCGCGCACCTACCCACGACAACACTGTCGTCTACAGCATGCATGACAATCTGTGCATCTACCATGGATTTCTCGCCGGGGACGTGGACGCGGTACCGGACTTCGTATTTCTCAATCATGCTGCCGTTGCTGAGCGGCGTCGCCCAGCGCAGGTTCAGAATGCACTTGTACAGCGTATAGGGCACGCGCTTATCGACGAGCCGAAGGACGCCCTTTTCATTCTCTTCAGCGACTTGAATATGGCGAAAGACATGCTCGGTTGAGATGTGGCACGTGGCCTCGGTGCGCTCCGGTGCGTTTGGGACTAGCATACACGGCATGACGGCCTCGTCCAGTAGGAAGACGCATGCTTTTCGCCGAGTTTTTGAGCAAGCGCGAGCACTGATCGATCGCGTCGGCGTCGTCCGAGTGCTCGCCGCAGAGGTCCAGCGCGGTTTGGCCCAAATAGCAAGGCATGGTGCTATGCCCCACTGCAATGAGTCGTATTCGTCGCGGGTTCATGTACCGGTCGGCGCCGTGTTTAAGGAGCCAGCGTACAAGCGGCGGGTGGGCAAAGAGCGAGGCGATGAAGAGCGGGGTCGCGTCCTGCAGCTGCCACCTACGCGCAATGGCAAGTGACAGCACCCAAGTCTTGCACATAGTCTGAGCGTGTACGCACCAGTACAGAGTCTCCCACTCGAGCTTGGCGCGGCTCATGTGCGTCGTGAGCTTCTGCGCAATCGCATGCACGTGGCTCGTGAGATCGCGCGTCATGACTAGACAGACACATTGTCCATCAGGCTGACGACAATATTCGTAGTTAGCACTCTCCAAGTCGCCGTGGATGAGCGCGCGCAATAGCGTGACTCGCCACGGTTCGTTCCCCTCGTCTTCCGGGTCCGTCGACGACGTGCTCTTGTACGTCATGTGGAATGGACCGTTACAAAGTGGTTCCAACGACCATGACGTGGCACGCCCACTGACCAGCATCCTGGCAACCAACTTCAACTTGGCGCCAAATTGGCGTGTACGGCAGGAAATTCTACTGATAAAGAAGAACTTGAATCGACATGGCATTCACAACTCTATTATAGTGTGTAGTGTGATAATTGTACGAGTGTATTTATTGACACAACCAGGCGACGCGTATCTTAGAGGGCAAACTGCCAGTCGAAGAAAAGGCTGACGTTCGCGTACGCCAAGCAGTTGTACGGGCGCATGCCGTGCTTGAGCACATGCGCGCCGTACTTGGGAAACTGCTCGACGCACTTGGAGGCATATGTTTTCGCGAGACCGTGGACAAGGATCGTCGTCAAGAGGTCTTGCCGTGGCGACCCGAGGCACGCGTAGCCGGGGCGCGACATGTACAAGGCCGCAATCTCATCGCGCGTCGCGTCGAGCAGCCGCTGCATCGCATCGTCCATGCGGTTGTCGAGAAGCATTGCGCCTTTGGTCAAGCGCGGCCAGTTCATGAAGTAGCACGAGTGGAGCGTTGGGGCCTTGGATCTGTTGCTGTGGCTGCACGCTTTCGCCATGGCGTGGAAGGACGCCTGCGACATGTAGTCGCCAACGTTGCCCCACGATATCGAGTGCGGCTCGTACGCCTTGATGAGCTGCAGCTCGAGGGTATCCCGCGCACGCAAGGTCGTCGGCGGCCAAATCTCGACAACGACAAAGCCACTCACGAGATGATGCTGGAGGCGCGCGATGCGCGACCGCAGGTAGTCGGCGCACGCGTCCATGAGCGTCCGGCCAGGCGCACGTGACGTGACGTGGAGACTCAGAAACGCATCGACATCGACCGCATGGAAGATTGACTCCATGCACGCTCGGGACGACGGATGCGACGACGGCACACCGCTCATCGTGACGCTGCCCACGTCCGCGCCAAGGAGCTGGCCCGTCAGCGCATACTCGAGCGCGCTCATACGGTCATTCGGCGAGGCAAAGGTGGCCGACGCACACAGCGACTGGTTGTCAAGCTTGCGCTTCCACTCGTTGCGCGCGGTTTCCACGCTCGGGACGCACGCTTGCCAGTGCGTCAAGAGGTCGCGCACCGACGACGTCAAATGGTCGCTATCAAGCAAGACGGGCGCGACGCCGGCTTGGAACGCAGTCAGAGTCGACTGCAGCCAGCACGACGAGTACCTTACTTGCAGAATCGCATCCACGGAGGCCTTTCCGAGGAGCATCGCGAGGATCACACGCGTCTTGGCGACGCAGTAGATGGACCCTTCGATCCCGACCCAGTGCGCAGGGTTGCTCGAATCCGCCGACGTCAATGCGACCGAGGTGAGGTAGGAGAGGTCGACAAAGCCGATCGCAATGTGGGTCTCGCCCGGCGGCAGCGCCGGCATGTCGTCGCCCACAAACGTGTTGGTGAACGTGTGGTGGATGCGCGGGTCGTAGACGCAGTCGTCGCGGTCACGCTCGCGCGTGTCGCCGTCTTTTGCTGCATGGTACCACGAGTGGGCAGGGAAGCTTTGGACGCGCGCCATAATGTCTGCAGACGATGGCGGCTGGGTCGACTCGGCGCCGTTGAAGACCGCGACGAGCGGTTCGTCCATGTACATGTTGCGCAGCACCTCGTAGCACATGCGCACGTGCATGTACGCATGCGGCAAATCGAGGCCGCGCGAGGTCGTACAAATTCTGGACGCCAACCGGCGTGCACGTCGGCTTGTGCGTCTTCCAATGGCTTCGCTGGCAGTCGCGCCCGCAGTACCACACGCTCTGGCATCGACTGCAGCGCGCCGGCGCCGTCGGTCGGCCACACGCGGCGCAAGGCATAGCAAGAAGCTGTCAACTTTTGCCGTCAGCTCAAGCGGTCCTGCGGGGGGGTGGACCTCATTTTTACATAACCATTGCCATTCAATTCGACAGGCCGTCAAGCCCCCATCAAAAAAGGTCTTTCGGGTACCACCCTGTAGGGACCCCCTAGAAATGTGATGGGCATGCTGGCGCGCCATGCGTTCGAACGACCTTGTCGGGCAGTGGGCGGAGGGTCCCGCCCGCAACTACGCTGAGTTAGCGTTTTTAGCGAAGCGAGCAAAGACGCGTCCGAAGTGTGCCTGGCTAGTGACGATAGCTTGGCAGGACGCCAGTGCGACACTGAGCTCAGATTCGGACGCTGTACTTTGCTGCACCGACACTATAAAGCTCTGGGTGCTGACGCCAACGATGGCCCTATTATGGATGCTGCGTGAGCAACTGGGTCGGCTCCCGTCTTTTGGTTTTGATCGAGGCCAAAGGAGCCGAGTAGCTTGAGGCACTGGTTACTTGCGCTCATCGCGTAGTACTGCGTTGGACAACAAAGAGGGGCGCAGTACAAAGCACTTGGTACAGATGAGCTCGGCGCTACCGCGACGTCAGCGCTTCGTGCTCACTGCCATTCTCCTCCTCATATTAGCTCGTCTTATAGACGTGTGATGAGCAATGCACGCAAGTCGCAATGAAATATTTGGCGCCCGCCGCCCATCGTGGTGCCAGCTGCGACGGCGCCGTTCTTTGGCGCCCACCGACCGGCACAGGAAGCCCGAGACAGATACTTCTACATGTATACGATTACTGTTGGTACTGGTACAGCGCTGTCGGTAGCATCCAAGCGACTTGGCGTCGCCAGCTTCAAGTTCCTTTAGCAACCAAAGGAGGCCCATGCAACGCAGGAGCCGTACGACTATCACGTGTCGTGGTGACGGAGTACAGTAGTTGGCGACAGATGTCGCAGGCTCGGCGCTCGCGCAGTCCAGTACTCTCTTGCAGCCATTCGTTTGGAGTCTTAGGTGGCTTCCTACGCCAGCGTGTGGTCGAATCGAGTGGCAGCGAGAGCGAGCGACTTGGCTTGCGACTTGGCTTGGTCAGCTGTCGATGTGCTGCGTGGCGCTGCTGCCACGTGCTTTCCGCCCACGTAACTCACGTTGAAGATCGCGCGTGATTCGTTCGTCTCGTGCAACAGCTTTCATTTCGAAAAAACCACCGGCCGCAGCATGCGCTTGGTATACCTTCTCGCTGCGCTGGCGACATGCGCTGTTGCCGACGACCGCGATGAGCTCCTCGACCGCATGAACGTCTGGAAGCAGAGCGGCGCCGGCCTCGAGGCGCTGAGGCGCAACCTCTCGAGCCCGCTCGAGTCTACCAACATTGACGCTGAGCTCGCCGCGTTCAATGCGACGCTGCAGACGGTCGCGGAGCTCAACAAGCTGCACCCGCTTGCGCGCTTTTCAGAAAACAACCCGTTTGCACTCATGACCCAAGACGAGTTTGAAGCGTACGTCGCCGGCAACAAGCCGGCGCGCAACGAGACGTGGACGCAGACCGAAGACGCGACGGTCTTGCCGGCGTCGACGGCCACGACGTCGGTCGACTGGTCGACCTCGGGCTGCGTCGCGCCCGTGCGCAACCAAGGCGTGTGTGGCTCGTGCTTTGCGTACGCCGCGGTCGCCGCGGCCGAAAGTGCCTACTGCCTAGTCAACAACCGCCAGCTCACGCTCTTCTCGGACCAGCAGGCGCTCAGCTGTGGGCCGGGCAATGGTTGCTACGGCGGCTGGTCCGACCTCTCGCTCGGGTGGATGGCGGCCAACGGCGTGTGCACGCTTGACGCCTACCCCAACAGTAACGAGTGGACAATGACGACAGCCGCCTGCGCGAAGAACTGCGCGCCCATCAGGATGCCGTTCACGACGGTCGCCAGCACTGTCGGCGAGCTCGAGCTCGAGCAAGCGCTCAACATCCAGCCGGTCGCGGTCGACATTGGCTCATCGAGCCCGGTCTTCAAGAACTACGCCGGCGGCATCATCACGGGGGGCTGCGACACGTGGTTCGATCACGTCCTCCTCGGTGTTGGCTACGGCAACGACGGCGGTGTCCCGTTCTTCAAGATGAAAAACTCGTGGGGAAAATGGTGGGGCGAGGACGGCTACGTCCGGCTTCAACGCGGCGTCGGCGGCATCGGTACGTGCGGTCTCGCCCGCCACGCCGCGTACCCGATCGTCTTCAAGCCGCAAGTCAACCTCGTCACGGCCACCGGCAATGTCATTTCCGAGTACTACTCCAACTTGTATGCAGGCCCGAGCCGCGGACCGTCGCCCAACGTGGAGTGGAGCTACGACATCAGCACGCACCAGATCAAGGTCAACTCGAACCACGAGTGCCTTGACGCCTACGTCGACGGCAGTGCGTACAAGGTGCACACGTACAAGTGCGACGCCTCGAACGGCAACCAGCGCTGGCGCATCGACAGCGCCAGTCACCGCATCCAGCACATGACACACGCTAACCTCTGCCTCGACGTCGACCCGAGCCAGAACAACAAGGTGCAGGTGTGGGCCTGTGGCAACCCAGCGCCGAACCAGTGGCTGGCGGTCTCGGAAGAAATCGTGAAGCTCTACAGCTTCAACAACCGGTTTCTATCGTCGAACGGCGAGATGATCCAGTTCCCGCCCGAAGGCAGCTACCCGTACGAGTGGGTCGTCAACAACGTGGACAACACGTGGCGCGCGCGCTCCAACACGGGCGACCCGCAGCGCTGCCTCGACGCCTACCAGCCCTGGAACGGCGGCGTCGTGCACTTGTACGCGTGCGACGCGACCAACGCCAACCAAAAGTGGCGCTACGACGCGAGTACGCAGCAGCTCCGCCACGTGACGCACGTTGGCTTCTGCCTCGACATGCGGACGGCAGAAGGTAGCCAAGCGCACCTGTGGCGATGCAATGCGCCGACCAACGACCTCCAGCGCTTCACCTATGTCTCGCAGTCGTTTCCGTAAACTTTTGGGATAGTCTAATTTTAAAACTGATTTTTATGTGACAATCCATCGACCGCTTTGATTGAGAAAGGGGTGGGGCCATGCTAAACAACGTGGCAAGACCCGATGAAAGCAATGGACCAGCTCCGGACGCTGACCACGTACAAGTGTCCCGGCGACGACCTGTTGAATCGAGCTCGCTCGCCTCTTGCGCTCAAGACCACTAGTAGCAATCGCTGGAGTCGCCCGGCACACCTCAATGCACGAGCTCTCCGACGGACGCGGCAAGAAGAACTGTCCGGCGAGTGCCAAACCTCGCGCGTTGATGCATAGGTCGTTGACACGCCGTTGGGACCAAAACCGACCAACAGCAGCTGAACAGGGCTGGACAAGGAGCGTGGAGACGGTGGCGACGACCATCGATGTCCTTGGTTCAGCTCCACGGGCATGTCGCGATGCGTTGGGCGAAGGGGCCATTTTCCTAGAGTCTCTCCAGTTGTTCGAACACGTTGCTCGCAGTAGGCGCATGGACGTCGACACAGAACTGATCGGTGTGCAGCCAACGAATGGCATTCGCACGTTCAACTGCACCACCATCGACTGCTACGAATATATTGTCGCTCGTCTCGTTGCGCATTCTCGACCATCTTGGCCACCTTGTACTAGAGATGGACGAGTAAACTACTGCGTACGGACTCTAATTGTCAGTGGCAGGCTCTTGCCACCCATTGGTTGGGTGGGAGCGGTATTAAGACAATATACTCCACAAACATACAGACACAAGTTGTTCGTCATCTTGGTAGACACGTCGAGACTGGCCATCGCCTTCTTCTTCATTCGCTCCGCAGAGCCTTGCTCTTCGCGCATTGCTTGACAGCGCTTGCGGCCAGAGTCATTAGACCCATGACGGCAAGCTCTGTTCGGTCCTTGCAGGTAGTGCGACCTAAAATGCGGGGCCCTGAAATGAGCTCAAGCATTGTTGTGCCTGTGTCTTCTGCAAGCGTAGCGCATGGTAGGCGAGGAACGCTCCAGTTCGGCGGGATGCTGTTGCTACGCTCATAGAGCGAGGTCGAGGTGCTCAAGAGCAGCTGCCGGCGATGCCAGGTGTCGAGGTGGGTTTGTTCAACACAAGGTGCGCCACAAGGGAGGACAAAAGTGGATTATGAATTAGACGAGTAGTTTATTGCTGGAGCTTGGACTTGATGTAGGCAAGGACGACCGACATCGGGCGCAGGTCGTACTCTTCCAAGACCGAGTGGGGCTTGGTGACCTGGTCGCCCTCGAGGCGGTTCAGCAGCGTGACGCAGACGACCGCCGCGGGGATGTTGAGCTTGTGCGTGAACGCCGCAAAGAGACGGCTCTCCATCTCAATGTTGCGCGTGCCGGCGTCGTGGCACACCTGGAGGAACGCGAGCTTCTCCTCGTTCGTGTACTCGCAGATCGCGCCATCGAGGCGGCCCTGCTCCTCGTAAAAGTCGTCGGCGCAGAGCGTCTTGCCAATCGCGTACGGGATCGAGATGTCGTCGCAAACAGCCGCGATCTCAGCCGTCACGGCAGCGTCCAGGACGGCCGGGCGTTCGTGGAGCTTGCCAAGGATCGGCACGACGTGCACGGGGCGGAGCTCGTGGTTGAGCGCCTCGGACGTGAGGACGACGGTACCGCCTTCGACGCCGACGCCGCCGCTCGTGCCCATGCGGATGTAGATGGCGTCGTGCGCGCCGGCGTACTCGAGGAGCTTGGTGACTTCGTGGAGGAGAATCGAGATCGACGGCATGCCCATGCCATGCTATAGGAAACGAGGCATGAGACAAACGGTGATGCAAATGACAATAGGCGTACGTTGGCGATGAGGACGGGGCCGACCTTGTACGTCGTGTAGCGCGACGTCGAGCCAATGTGCGAGAGGTTGTAGCCGAACGGCGCCTTGATGCCAAGCGTCTCGGCGAGCTTGAGCGCAAACGTCTTCATGCGCTCGGCGCTGCCGCCGCAGATGAAGAACTTGATGTCACCAAAGATGGCGCGGAACTCGTCGCGCTCGGCCTCCGAGTACGAGAGACCGAGGTGGTAGAGCACGTCCGTCGACGGGTTCTCGAGGTTGGCGTTGATGACGTGGACGTGGGCCATGCTGATGGGAAGGCGAAGTGTGCAGACGAATGCAAATTCAAAAGTGCGCTCCAAAGTGAGGGCCCTGCGTCTGCAACCTGATTGGCCAACGCAATAGCGTTGCGGGACTCCGTCGCGACTTCAGTCGGCTGTTTCTCAAGATGGCGCCACAGCCCAATTGACGGGTTGATCCGGACCGCCACGAGTAGCTGAGCGTTGAAACGGCAGTTTGCACTTTCTACATGACGTGGCATGCTCTCGGACGATGGCCGTTTCAAACCCACCACTCCAATCGGCTTCGCACCGGTGGTCGACGTATTTGACGCCGCAGTAGACAACGCTGGTAGATCGTCAGCGCGCTTGCCTCTTGTACACCCTGCGGCGTCAAGAGCACCACGCATATCGGTCACCGACGGGCGCCGTGTTGTACTGGATCAAAGTATGGTCATATGCATGCAAGGACTGCATTTGTATCACTGAGATGCGTGCGACATCCGCCTGTGGCGGCCCGAAAGCAGCCAAGTGGCGAGTCTCTAAGGGTAGAGCGTCCAACTCTTTCGAGCAGTGTGCCTCAAGATGTGCGGCCCAACTTGGGCGGCGACTTGCTGCCGTGGCTTCTTCAACCTGGGACACGGCCAACTTCAAGCAGGCGCCTCGTCATGCGCTGCACGACGGATCTCTACAGCGACCTCTAACGCCGACGATGCCATCGACGACCCAGTATTCGCTTGGTCATGGTGCGCCGCATACTATAGTACCGGTGGCGATAAATGCCTCATCTTCGCAACTCGTTTTGGGAGGATTCAGACGTAGTACGACCACAGTACATGTATCTTTTTCCCAAACTTCAATGTGTTGGCATAGCTTCAGATTCAGTGTCGGGTTTATGGGCTGTGCGGGATAAAACCGACGCTGAATCTGACTGAGACATACGTGGCAGCCGGAGTCGCCGGCATCGTGCTTGGGCCATGGCGCGCGCGTTCGACGAGTTGGGTGTCTTGCGTGCTTACACGCAAGGATGGGCAAGGATGTGGCGCACCCAAGCACGAGGCGCTTGGCGTCGTTACGCTGGCGGGACCCATCGACGTCTCTTCTTGTCGCTCCTAGGCGGAGCCACCTGCAGCGTTGGCGCCCTTGCTTTCATCAACCTAGTGTCGTTACCGTCCACAGCGGCGATCTCGTTGCTCGATTCGCAAGTCCGAAACCATCTCTCTCGTCGCCAAGTGACCCATTTGCACAGAAGTACATGCATTTATTACTCTCACTCCTTCTACGACCACTCACTCTACGCGTCCTCCGCGACCGGTGCTTCGTCTTCTTCTTGCGCCGTCGTCTTGGCCTTGATGTAGGCAAGGAGCACCGCCATCGGGCGCAGGTCGTAGCTCTCAAGCACCTCGTGGGGCTGCGTGATCTGGTCGCCTTCAAGGCGGTTCAGCAGCGTGACGCAGACGACCGCCGCCGGAATACTGAGCTTGTGGCAGAACGCGGCGAACATGCGCGCTTCCATCTCAATGTTGCGCGTGCCGGCGTCGTACGCCTTTTGGAGAAAGGCCATCTTGTCCTCGTTCGTGTACTCGCAGATCGCGCCGTCGAGGCGGCCCTGCTCCTCATAAAAGTCGTCGCACGACAGCGTCTTGCCGATCGTGTGGGGCAGCTCGAGCGCCTCGCACGTCGCTGCAATCTCAAGCGCGATCGCCGCGTCCAGCACCGCGACGCGTTCGTGGACCTTGCCGAGAATCGGGATGCGGTGGATGGCTTCGAGCTCGTGGTTGAGGCCGGCCGACGAAATCACGACCGTGCCGCCAGCGACACCGACGCCGCCGCTCGTGCCCATGCGGATGTAGATCGCGTCTTGGGCACCCGCATGCTCGAGGAGCTTGGTGACTTCATGCAGCAGGATCGACGTCGAGGGCATGCCCATGCCGTGCTACGGCAGCAATGATACATTGATACATTGAAAGAACAAAGGACGTACGTTGGCGATGAGGACGGGGCCGACCTTGTAGATGACGTAGCGCGACGTCGACCCAATGGGCGCGAGGCTGTAGCCAAATGGCGCCTTGATGTCGAGTGTCTCGGCGAGCTTGTGCGCAAACGTCTTCATGCGCTCTGCGCTGCCGCCGCAGACGAAAAACTAGCACCGTATCAAGTTGATACACATGCAGTCAAACAGGAAGACATGTACCTTGACGTCGCCAAAGATGGACGCGATCTCGCAGCAGTTGTCCTGCGAGTACGAGAGACCGAGGTGGTACAGCACGTCTTGCGCGTCTGGCGTGATGTTGTCGTTGCAAATGTGGTGGTGCGCACTCGGGAGCTGCATCGTAAACGTGTGCTTTCGGTTTTGAAAAATGAAAAGTGAAAAATGACTTTTGGGTTCAAAGTCCCAATCGGTCCCAACTTCAACTTGGCACCCCGTCTTTGCAACCTGGCGTCGCTTCTGTGGCGCCTCCGCTTTCGTAGGTGGCTGCTGCAACACGGCAACTTTGCCGGCGTATCGCAGCCCGTCGAGTCGGGTAATCAATGACAGCCTACTGCTATGCTGTGGCTTCGGTGTATGCGTGGCGTTGGTGCCACGAGGGGTAGGGTTGCCGATGGTGTGCATGGTTCTGTTCTCGACTGCACCATTTCGAGTCGCGCGTTTATAAAAAAAGAGCTATGTAAACTTGTTGGCGTGGGACGTCGGCAACATGTCGTCGTCGGCCGCTACGACGTCTCGTTTATGACCCGACCTAGTTTCGATGCAAGTACCGGACTTGCCTCGGCTCACGACCGATGCAAAGTGGAACGTGCTCTGGCCCTGCAGACTCTTGTGCAAAAACGGCGATAGCCCGAGGAAGACCGACGTGGCCGCAAGAAATTGCAGGTACACAGGCCGCGAGATGAGCTGCGTCGCCTGCGCCTTGATCATAAAGATGAGCGCGACCTCGCCCACCTACACCGCGATGGACGTTGAGTTCAAGTCGTTTTTGACGTTGAGTTGGAGTTGTCTTTGCGTTGCAGTGTCGATACCTGGCAGAGGCTCAGCGCCGCCTTCATCGCGCGCAGTATCGGGATGCGGAAAAACGTCATGAGCCCGAGAAGAAGCGTGATCTTGATGACGACGATGCACAGCATCATCGAAAGCACTTGGAGGCAGTTGCGGACGAGGTAAACCTAGTCGCATTAGCAATACGCTAATCATGTCGGAATGGCTGGGTACCGGGTTGAGGATCATGCCAATGCAGGCAAAGAACATACTCCCAAAGAGGTTGTCGAGCACGCGGATCGATGTGAGTGTCACTTTGAGATTCGTTTGGCCCATAAACGCAAGGCCGGCGAAGAACGCGCCGCTCTCAAGCGACAGCCCCAGCGTCTACATGCTCCATTCTATATAGACTATAGACAATATTGGTTGTGTACCTCGGTGAAGAGCGCCATAAAGAGACACACCGAGACGATACCAAGCAAAACGAGCGGCGAATGGTGGACTTGCTCCATCGACGCGAGAAACGCGAGCAGCGGCGGCACGACGCGCCTACGTACACAGTGTCGTCGTTTTCGCAGCAGACAAGTTGTCCAAAATACACATGCAAGACGATCGTGAGACCGACGACAATGCCGTACGCAAAGAGCGTCTTGAGCACCGCGATGCTCACGAGCCCGGCCGACCCGTGGTGCGTAAACCACTCGGGCGTCGCAAGCGCAAAGCTCATGAGCACGTCTTGCACCGCCACGATGGCCGTGACGAGCTATCGTCGTGCATGAGCGAATAGGGTTATGGATTGTCGCCGTACCCGACCAAAGACCGTGTGGCGGAGGCTCTGCGTGCGCACGTACTCGGCGAGCGGCGCGGTCGATGTAAAGCAAACGCCAGCTCCGAGAATGAGGCCTTCCGAGAGCGACGGGGCCTAGCACCAGATATTTGTAACTCAACAGGAACGGACGACAGACCCAGCCCAGGCTCGTGCCGACAAGCGCCATGCACACCATGGTGGCAGCCACGTAGAGCGCGCCAGCGACCAAGTATCGCTTGAGCACCTCGTCGGCGCGCTGCACCGAGTACTCGGCGCCGTGGGCTAGGACAAGCGTGATGCCAGCAATACGAATGATCGAATATACCAAAAAGAAGGAAAATGGTGCCAAAGAGCGAGATGGTCTCGACCTCCTTGAAGTGGTGCACAAGCCCGAGGCCCGACGGACCGACGACCGCGCCGCCGACGAGGTACCCGATCGTCGGCGGGAGGTTGATCCACGAAGTGACGATGCCACCGAGTGCCGAGACGCCAAAGAGGAGGGCGATTTGCCCGAGGAGACTGAAGTCGTAATGGAGCACCTACCGACGGTACAGGGTTCGATCCTGCGAAAATACGAAAATATGGGTTACCGCGGGGTCGGCGTCGTTCTCGACCTTTTCGAGGTGCTGGCGCTCCTTGGCCGAGAGCTCCGAGTGCGTGAGGTTCTTGAGCCGACCCGATTCGTAGTCGATGGCCTCCGCGCCTTGCGCCTCGATCTCGTGCGCTTGCTCGTCGGCTTGCTGTTGCCGGAGGACCTCGTTAAGCTGCTTGGCCTTCTCCTCCGTGTCCTTCTCGACCGTGTCCAGCTCCGAAAACGTCATGTTGAGGTTGCGTGCAAGCAGCTGTAGGTTCTCGCGCAGGCCTTGAATGTCGGAGCGAATGCGTGCTTGGGTGATGTCCCGTCGCGGCCGCTGGCTCCGCGAGAGCTCTGCGTCAATGTTGTTGAGACCGTTTAGAAGCGACTCTTCAAGGTCCTCAATGAGCCGCAGCTGCTTCTCGAGATGGTCGAGCGCCGACTCGGGCTCTTTGGCCGGTGCCTGCATCGCCAGAACCGGCGAGGTCGGGTCGGCCGGTCCAGTGGTGCGGACCACCTTGGAGGTCGATGCCATGGACGGCGCCGGCGATGCTGCCAGCGCAAGCAAGCTCATGTTCAAGACGAGCACGAGCAGCAGCATGCATCGTTGCGCCCGTGGCAATAGCATGCTTCTTGGTGCCATGACGATGAGCGACGACGTCTGCCAGGTTATCGCCGACTGCCAGGAAGATTCCCGTTCAACATATCCGGATACGCATGGTTTATGCGGTGCTTGTCGCATCCTAGCTTGTGTGGAGCTATTTCCACGCATCTTAAGCCACCCGAAGGGCGGCAGCAAGAGGTTGCTGTCAACACCCATGGTCTTGCTTGGCAGCTACATGGCGACAAGTACATGGATGTATGATTCAAATGGATTTGGAGGCGCCAACTCTGCACGGTACATTATGCTTGTAGCTGCATGGCCGAATCGGTGGCGTGATTATAGTCTTATCCAGACAAGTTGCTTATCAAGGACTGCCTTCACGTATTTTTCTTTTCCATACAACAATCAAGTTAAAAGGCGTCATACAATACAACATGCGACGAGGGCGGCGTTTTAATGCGGTCGCCCTACGTTTTACGGTATCCGGACACGCAATTCCTTGCAATAACTGGCTGGCAGAATTCGATTGGTTCCGTTATGGCCCGAGCCCGATCCAAGATGGTCGCCCGTCGTGGCGCCAAGCCGCTGGCCAAGCCGACGCCGGCGCCGGTGGCGGAGCCGTCCTCGGCGTCCGAACAAGACGACGCCAACGACGCTGAAGCACCCGCCGAGGCGAGCGATGCGGCAACGAACGAATCCGCCGAGGAGGCAGACGATGTTGAACCCGACGTCATTGGCGCTGGCTCTGCCGAAGACGACGCTGCCGACGATGCCGCTGCCGAAGACGACGCTGCTGAAGACGACGCTGCTGAAGACGACGCTGGTTCTGCCGACAACGACGCTGCCGAGGAAGACGAGGACGAGGACGACTTGGCGCCGGTGGCCAAGAAGGCCAAGAAGGCCAAGAAGGAGACGAAGAAGGGTGTCATCTACATGAGCCGCGTGCCGCCGTTCATGAAGCCGGAGAAGGTCCGGCATTTGCTCAGCCAGTATGGCGACATTGAGCGTATTTATTTGGTCGAGGAAGACAAGACCGCGCGCAAGAAGCGTCTCAAGGCCGGCGGCAACAAGAAGGTCAACTTCACCGAGGGCTGGATCGAGTTTTCGCACAAGTCGGTCGCCAAGCGCGTCGCGAGCGCGCTCAACACCAAGCCCATGGGCGGCAAGAAGCGGGGGTTCTACTACGATGACATTTGGAACCTCAAGTTCCTCAAGGGCTTCCAGTGGACCCACCTCACCGAGAAGATCGCGTACGAGAACCGCGTCCGCGACCAGAAGCTCCGGCTCGAGATCGCGCAGGCCGCGAAGGAGAACGCAGCGTTCATGGAGCGCGTCGAGCAGTCCAAGCAGATCGACAAGATGGAGGAGCGCAAGAAGGCCGAAGCCATCGCGGTGCCCAATGCCATGGACAACATTCGCCGTACGTTCCGCCAAAATGCGCCCGCCGACAAGACCAAACAAGCGTCGCTCGGCGACCACTCGAAAGCGCTGCTCACCAAAGTGTTCAAGCGCAAGCTCGACGAGTAGTAACCTGCCCAACATACCTCTTCTAGACTTTACATTGTACATTGCGCTGCGAGCATCCCTCGAGACGCGGCTCGGTGCTTGTCGACTGCTGTCTCAGCTGCTTCCGTCGCCTTGGAGCGTGAACCAAAGGTATCCACCAGAACGTTAACGGCCCTTGCACTACAGAACTCGAGTCTGCACGCTACACGGCAATCGTGATCGTTTGGGCGTCGCCGAGAGCCTTGTCGAGCGCGGTCGAATGCAACACGTTGCCCGACGTACTGTCCTTCATTGTCTAGTGCAACCATAGCAAGGGTGACGGTAAGCATCCAGTCATACCCAGTGGTGCCCGTGGAACGACGAGAAGGGCTGCTCTCCATGGGCTTTGATGGTCGCCAGCTTCGTATCGGACCAAAAGAGATCCACGGGGCCGTCCGTCGGGTTGACAAACACAACCTTGATCGTGTCGGCGCGCGTATCGTCGAGGCCGTACCGCCGCTTGTTCCACACCCAGAGGTTTGCAGCCCTACATGAATCATTGGAGCTCTCAAGCCTCTAGGATGCGACGACGACGTTGTACCACTTGGTCCCGTCAAGGACGGGGCAGCCGCCGTGGAGTGAGCGCGGATCGAGCTCGCCTAGCCGTCGTGGGAGTCACTCTTCACGGCCAAGACCCCATTACCGTTGGGCTTTTGACTATAAAAGAGGATGGCGTGCGTCTTCATCGGGTACGACGCCAGCCTGTCCACGACGTGAGATCCGCGCCTTGATAGATTGATAGTAACCGTGAACTGCAGCTCTGGACCATGTCGGCTTCCCAGCTGTCTTTGGGAAAGAGCGCGTGCGCGTCGGGATGCAGCGGCAGGTGCACATGGCCTTCCGGCATATCGGCGAGCGGAAAGACCGTCTGCCCGCCGCTTGTGACGTTCGAGAGGTACAAGAACACTGTCGCGAACCGGTTGGAGCCGCCGGTTTTCGGGTTCCAGTTCCAGTCGTCGCTCGTGCCCGACGCAAAGTAGTCGGTGTGGGCAATGTACGCTTGCTTTTGCTGGTATCGCAGCAGCTGGAGGCCGTCGCACATGTCGTCTTGGTACGTCGGAAGCCGCAGCAAGTCGAACGACCGCTTCCGAATCGCGAGGGCCGGCGCCGACACTTGATCGAACGCGTTCTCGGACGTGCGGTGGCTTGAGACGACCTTGGCGCGGCTTTTGTGCCCGACGTGCGACTGCTGCAGCTTGTCGTGCTCGCCGTCAATTGTCAAGATGCGAGCAATCAGCGCGTCGGCTTCGTCGTTGGTGAAGAAATCGTGCACGTGAAACACGCGTGGGCTCTCGCTAAACGACTCGAGGATCATGTCGCGGTTGGTCGGGCTCATCTCGGCACGAATGTGCACGCGGTGCCCTAGCTACATGGCGATGACGTCGAGGAGAGGATGAGAGTGGCCATCTCTACCTTGACAAACGGCCACACAAAGAGAAGGCCGGGCGCCACCAAGTAGAGGCGGTCGCCATCGCGAATGTCGTCGAACGACGTCACGAGGCGGCCCGTGCCGGTAAAGACGCGGTCGGCTACGATGCGGACGTCGTCGGGCTCGCCCACGAGCCGAATGCCATCGACAGCAATGTGCTCCGAGAGGTATGCTGCCAGCGCCGCGCCCGACGGTACGTGGGATGGCTCGAGCGACAGGCGCACACCGCCGACAGACTTGCCATTGTCGTAGACGACCACGGTCTTCCACGTTTGGTTGTGCGTCGACAGGAGCCGTGACGGAAAGATCGGGTGCTGGTCGTGCGGAACGAGCCAGAGGGACGCGCCCAGGGCAAGCACGGCGACGAGCAGCACGAGAGTCGAGGTCCATGCACCGGAGGTCGGCGCTGCTGTCGGCGCAACGGCCTTGGGCGCAGTGGCGCTCGTATGAGGCGTGCGTCCCTTGCGCTCCGTCAACGCCATGCCACGTGGGTTCAAATGTAGCCACACGGAAATAGACGGGCCGAACGTATGCTATAGAAAATCCAACAGTGTACTGATCGCTGATCGCTGATCGCCAGCCCAAGTCACAAGCCGCGAGTGCGGTTGTGCGAGGTACGTTTCCTGGATTATCCAGCCGAGCTTGTGGTTGTCGCTGCCACCGGCGCTCGCCCTGCCCTCTGCATCCTTGGTCTCCGTTGACCATCACTAGCGAATCAAGCGCAGCTGCGACGGGGTCACAGTCGACCCCTGCCGCACGCCCGAGTAGCTGCCACGAAAGCGCAGTCGAGCGCTCGACGCTCCAAGCTAGTAGCTCCAGCAGCGATCTCGAGCCACCGTCGCCATGCCACCATGCCGGAAGATCGCAACACCGTTAAAACCTCTTGAAATGGATAATCTATCGAGTGTCAGAGGAAACCACAGTGTTGGTCGTTGCGGCGCCAATCAGTGTCGTTGGAATCGAGAGCCATGGCCGACCAAGACGCTTGCACCTGCGGCTTCCTGCCCTGCGTCTGCGTCACCGAGGAAGAGGTCAAGCAGGCCGAGAAGCTCGCAGCGCTGCGCAGCATCCTCATGACCACGACGGCGCCGTGCGATCTCTGCTTCATGCTGCCGTGCATCTGCGACGGCGACTTGTACGAGGACGCCGACGTCCCGCTGCATCCCGACCCGCCCGTGCTGCGCGCTCAGCCGCTTGACGACTATGGCCGTGTCGAGCTCGACGACGAGCTTTGGGTCGCGGACGAGATCGCGAACGTGCTCAAGCCGCACCAAGTCGACGGCGTCCGCTTCATGACGACGCACTTGGCGGCGTCGCGTGGCTGTATCCTCGCCGACTACATGGGTCTCGGCAAGACGCTACAGCTCATCACGACGCTGCAGAGCTACCTCGCCGACGGCCTCGCTGCGTACGACGAGCACCATCTTCGTACCTTGTTCACCCGACAGGCGTAGGGGCGAAAAGCGCACAGCGCTCGTGCTTTGCCCGACCGTATGCATCATGAACTGGGTCCTCGAGTTTCGGAAATGGCTCAAGGAGACCACGCTAGCTCACTGCCCGCTCTTCTACATGGAAACCAGCAGCGTACGCTCGGCCGCATCGCGTGTCGCCAACTCAGTTCTGTTAGCACAAGTCGAGCCCGGCCTGCCGCATCGAGCTGCTCGAAAAGTGGCATGCGACCGGCGGTGTCCTCATCCTCGGCTACGAGATGTACCGCATGCTGCTCAACCCGACGAAAACGACCGACAACATTGTCCTCGAAGCGACGACCGTCATGAAGGAAGGCGTGGTCGAGATCCACGACCGCCACCAGCTTGCGATGGACAAGGCGCTCCGCAAGCTCTCGTCGCTCTTGTGCAACCCCGGGCCGAGTCTCGTACGTCACATTTGCTGGGCGGGCATGCTGCAACGAGAAATGGCCTAGGTGGCTCTGGACGAAGGCCACCGCATTAAGGACCCGACGTCGATCCTCTGCTCGTGCCTGGAGCGTATCGCGACGCCCCACCGCATCGTGCTCACGGGCTACCCGTTGCAGGTATTTAGTCTATATATTTTTTCGAGTGTAGGGGATTACACCGACTAGAACTCACTCGCGGAATACTGGTGCATGGTCAACTTTGCGCTACCGGGGTTCCTCGGCACGTACGAGTCGTTTCGGTCGACATATGAAAAGCCCATTCTCGACGGCGACGACGCCAAGGCGACGGAGCTCACGACGCGCCTCTCGACCGTCGTGCTGCGCCGCGGCCAAGCGCTTCTGAATGCGCACTTGCCGCAGAAGTTTGAGTGGATCATCCACTGCCACCTCTCGCCGCTGCAGCACGAACTCTACGTAGCGTTCTTGGAGCGAGACCGCGCGACCAAGCAGCAGTGGGACCTCTTTACAGCCTACACGACGCTGCTCCAGCTCGTCAACCACCCGGACGTGGTTCGCACCCGGCTCTTTCTCAACGAGACGAACGAGAACGACGACGAGAAGGACCCGACCGACGAGCTAAACGACTGGCAGCCCGTGCTCTCGGCCAAGCCAAAGCCCGTCAAGAAGCGCAAGCGCATCGAACGCGACCCGGCCACGACGCTGTGGGCGACGCGCCTCGACGCCGACGCATACGAGCCTGGTGTCGCGGCCCACAGCGGCAAACTCTCCGTCTTCCTCGCCCTTTTGCACCAAAGGTTTGTCTCGATGGATCGATCCTATGGAGGCGTATCCAACGCGTGGATAGTCGGGCCGTTGGCGACAAGATTGCCGTCTTCTCCCAGAGCGTCTCGACGCTGCGCGAAATCGCACGCTTCATCGACGCACTGGACGCCATGAAAGCGCCCACGACCCAGAAGAAACCGACCAAAGCCAAGAAAGGCCGGAAGGCCGTCACGCCAAGCAAGCAAGCGCCGTCGTGGCGTCTCCTCGAGGGCAGTGTCTCGTCGTCCAAGCGCATGGACTACATTGAGGTGCGTCTTGCGCGCGATGTCCATTATTGTCATGTACGCTGTAGACGTTTTCGAACCCGTCGAGCCGCGTCGATGTGTTCCTCGTCTCGACGCGCGCCGGCGCCGAGGGCATCAACCTCCACGCCGCCAACCGCGTCGTGCTCTTTGACGTGAGCTGGAACCCGTCGCACGACCACCAAGTAATTTGTCTTTCGCCTCGAGACAATGGACAAAATTGTCATGTCTAGTCCATGTGCCGGTCCCACCGCATTGGGCAGCGCAAGGACGTTCACGTCTACCGCCTCGTGAGCCACGACACGATCGAAGAAAAAATCTACAACCAACAAGTACCGTGTGGTCTGTATCAACTTGATACTATCGCGCGGGTTAGGTGAAAAAAGTGGACTTGAGTGCCAACGTCGTCGACGCGACCGCCATCAGCGCGTTCAAGCCCTCCGATACCTCGTCGTTCTTTGCGCCGCCGTCGCCGCCACCCATGTCGTCTGTGGCGCATGCCCTGAGCGGCGATGACGTGCTGGATGCGTGCCTCGCCAGCGCTGGCCCGCACATTGTCCGCTGCCTTCGCTCGTCCAGTCGTCTTATCCTTGTCTGCTGTAGGCCAAGTACTTCCGCGCGCTGCACATCACCGACGACGCCGCCGCCTGAACGGCGACGAGTCGTTCGAGCGACTCGTAACAACACAATGCTAGCCTCGTCAGACGTCATTTTTGTATGGTGTAAATACGGTCTTAGCAGCAACCACTTTTCTTGGCGCTACCGTGGTGCGGCGACCCACGCGTCGGTCGGTGGTCGTCGACGATTTGGATCGTGTTGCCGCGCGCGCCGTCGCGGTTGCGTGCGTCCATCGCCGCCGCCGACGTAGTTGTTGTGGGCGCGGCCGATGGCGTCGGCGCGTCGTCGTCGGCGACAAACGCATTGGCCTTGTTCTTCTTGGAGCGAGACGCGCCGCCGCGGCTGAGCATGCGCTTGGCGAGGTCGACAAACACGTCGTCGAGGCCGCGGTTGAGTTTCGCCGACGTATAAAAATGCGTCGCGCCGACCGACTTGGCGTACGCGACCGCGTCGGCCTCGGTCACCTTGATGTTGCGCTTGAGATCAATCTTGTTGCCAGCGATCGCAATGTCGATCTCGTCGCCAACGATGCGGCGGAGTTCCTTGACCCACGTCTTGACCTTCTTGAACGACTCGTCGTCGGTAATGTCATACACAAGCAGCGCACCATCTATACACAGCATGGTTTAAGATGCGAGGCCACGTTCGTTGGCCACCGGCGTCACGGTAGTAGATTGGCCCGAGGGCGTGAAAGCGCTCTTGGCCCGCCGTGTCCCAAAGCGACAGCTGGACGTTTTGGTTCTCGACCGAGAGCTTCTTGTCGAGGTACGACGCCTGGAGCGTCGACACTTGGCGGTCGTCGTACTCGTTGCGGATGTAGCGCAGGAGGATCGAGGTCTTGCCGACGCGGCCTAGTCGCCATGAGCGCGCCGTCGTCCGCAGGTCGTACCTTCGCCGAGCAGGACCACCTTGTAGCGCTTCGTTGCCATGTTGCCCGGTCTTGCTCGAATGCTGCAGTCCGCTGAGCTGCCGTTGTGTCAAACACCAAAGAAGGTTTTTTCGCCGCTTTTCATTGGCTAAAAAGATTACTGCAATGTGCTTTTAAGCCAATCATATTGCCTCGTGCTGTCTTGCCAAAGGAAACTCGTCCTGCTTTCTTTTTTATCATTTGGATAATGTATACCTGTATTTCTTTTGAAATTGTATTTCGCTACGGAAATGGCACAGTGGAATTCCGACTCGTTCCATCGAACATGCGAGATAGCCAAAGCACTTTATACACATCGTATCGATAGACAAAATACACTGTGGCCGCGACTGGAAGACACGTCGACGAGTAGTAGCTGCCGGTACGACCGTCCACCGGCGCGGCGTCGGTTCTATTTGCCTCAAAAAGTAAGGACACTGTCTGGTCGCTCCGTTGGACACTGGATTTTTCAAATTTCAATTGTCAGATTTGGCGTCGCGGATCTGTGTTTGCGCTAGGGTCCGAACGGCAGATGGCGCTCAACGCCAAGCAAATACATTCATTCAAATGGTTGTAATCATTTAAATAATATTTCCTGGCAACGCTATCGCACGAAGCGAGCAAGTGCTGTGGAGGCGTCCGTGGTATCTATGATGCGATGCGCATACCATTTTTGTCTGGCAGAGTTTATGAAATAAACAGATTTTCTTCTATTATTAATACCCAGCCTTTCTACTTTTGCGAAAACACCTTCTTCAGCGCCGCGTACGTGGCTTCGGGGGCTTCGTCGTCGACCTTGGCCTTCTTGGTCGACGCCACCGGTGTCTCGTCCGTCGTCGTGCGCTTCAACGGCGCCGTCGTCGGCACCGACTTGGCCGCGCGTTCCTTGGCTTTCGTCAGCACCGTGTCCAAGAACGACCGGTAGAGCGACCGGAGCGGCGGCAGCACGTGCGACGGCGCGGCAAACATGCCGCCATTCCCGGCCTTGCTCGCGTCCTCCTTGTTCAAACGCGACGACGTCGACGCCTCCGGAACCGTCCACGCGCCGTACATTTGCTGGAGAATCGAGTTGGACTCTTCCTCCATCGTCGCGGGCAGCGAGGCCACGAGCATCGCGTCGCCGACCGCATGCACGGTCGAGTAGGCGTCCATGACGAGCAAGTGCTGCTTGTAAAACAGCGCGTCGGTGATGACGACGCCGGGCACGCGGTAGATGGCGGTCGGGATCGACGACGCCGTGTCAAACACAAAGAGGTGTCCGACGGCCTTGTCCTTGGAGCCCGTGTTGACGCCGAGGAGGAGCTGGCTCGAGTTGGACGTCTTGGTGAGGCTCATGCACGTGAACGGGATCGCATAAAACCACACGATCGAGCACGTGAGGAGCGACCAGACGTAGACGCCGACCGACGTCCGCGCCACGAGAAGCGGCGACGACGGACCGGCAAACGCAATGTCAGCGACCGCTTCCTTGGGGTACGAGAGCACGGACCGAAGCGCGTTCGTGATGGGGTCCCACAGCGTGAGAAGCGGGCCGTACGCGATCGCAAGCAGCGACCCGTCGTCCGAGAAGGCGATCGCGCCGACCGGCACCTTGCGGAACTGCGACATGCTCGCGCAGGACCAGACGCCGTCGTTGAGCGCCCAGACGCGGACCTCGCCGTGGTCGTCGCCCGTCGCGATGCGAGTGTTGTGCACACCGATGGCCGTGATGACGCGGCCCAAGCCGTGCGGCTGGTCGACGTCCGTGTTGACCACGAAGGACCCGTCTGTCTTTCGCGTCCAGAACCGCAGCACCGACTCGTCCTGCGTGCGCGCGACGGTCGCCATCGTGCGCGTCGCATTCGAGAAGCCAATGTGAGTCGCAAATGTCCGCGTCGGCACTTCGTTGAACGTCTACACAGTTTCCACGTTTCCATATCGCAAAAAAATGACAAGTCAGCGTGACATACCGCCGACACTTGGTTGCGCTCGGTGAGCGGCACAGTGCGGAGCACACGGTCTTGGAGCGGCTCGTAGAGCTGGACGTTGCCGACGAGCGACGCGCCCTGAAGGGCGAGCGTCTGCGACCACGGCTCGAGCGCGAGGCGGCCGTTGATGAGCGTCTTCTTGCTCGGGAGGCCGACGCGCGCGAGGCCACCGACGTGCCACGCACGCACGTCGGCCACGTGCTTGTAGTAGATGATCGAGTTGTCGACAGTCGCGACGTAGTAGCCGGCGCCGTCGGCGCGCGTCACGATCGACGAGATCGACGCGGGGAAGCGCGGGATCGTCGTGCGCTTCCCGCTTTCGAGGTGCCAGAGCACAAACACAAACTCTTCGCCGCCGGACGCGACGTAGTTGCCGTCGGTCGAGTACGCGACCGACCCCACCGGGTGCGAGTGCCAATGGAGCTTGGTCGGCTCGGGCACCATGTGCTCGGTGAGGGAGCGCCACACCTGGATCTGACCGTTGACGTCGCCGGTGACGACCTCGTCGCGCGTCGGGTGGAGCGCAACACTCGTCATGTAGCGGTTATAGCGCAGGCTGCGCGTCTGGATGTCGCGCGAGGCGTCGTCGCCGGCCGGGCGGCTGTAGATGCGGCTGTACTGGAGCTCCTTGCCGCCGACGGCGGCGATCGACCCGACCATCCCGGGGACCGACGACGGCTGGTACGCTGCGCCGACAAACGGCTTGTTTTGCCCCGACATGACCTTGCGTTCGTAGTAGCCGTTGACCGTGTCGAAGAGCTGGATGTTCCAGTGCGTCGCCTCGAGCGGGTGGAGGTTGACCGTCCACGCCGCCGACCAGTCCTTCTTGGACGTCGGCGCCTCGCCCTTGTGCTCTGCGTGCGCCTTGATCTTCTTTTCGCGGCACATTTGCGACGCGCCCGCTTGGTCGGACCGGACCGTCGTGTTGAGCGTGATCGCCAAGAGCTCGGGCGAGATGGCGGCAATCCACACGATCGGGTCCTTGAGCTTGTGGTCCGCGAGGATCTGACCGGTCGCGAGGTCCCAGAGGCGCAAGTGGCAGTCGCCGGTCGCGACCCACATCTGGCTCGGCGTCGTCGGGTGCAACGCAAAGGCACTCACGTGGTTCCGGACGTCGGTCGGAATCGCGTATTTCGCCACTTGGCGCGAGACCCACTGCGCTTTGCGGGTCGCGTCCGGCTTGTCGGCGCTTGGGTTCTTGTAGAGGCGCTCAAAGTGCGCCTTGAGGTGCGTGTCGCGCATGCGGCGGCGCAATACCTCCAAGTCCGAGAGCGGCTCGGGCGGCCCTTCCGGCGCTGGCATGCGCAGGTACTGGACGATCTCGCCCGTCTTGGCGCTGCGCGCGACAATGGCGTCGCCGTGCGCCTCGTAGAGCGACTTGCCGTCGGTCGAGGCCGTGATGCCAAGGCACCGCTGCGCCCGCGTGCATGCGCTGCTGAGCTTCTGGGCCATTTTCAAGAGATGCTGATGGATCCACGGTCGCAGCCAGCAAATGAATGGCCATTGCGGGAACCAATCACCAACGATGCCAACCGGTTGGCATTTATTTTTAACTGTAACCGGTTTGGCCATCGACCGCTGGGCCTGCCACGTCACGTCCTTCCATGCGATCGCAAGCTCGAGACGCATACCGGTTCACCACGCGACCGGACATCCTCAGGATCGTCAGGTGGCCACTCCTCGCCAACGCATGAAGAGTCTACAGGCGAGTGAGAGCGTTAAACCCAATACAAATGTCCAGCAGCTGCAGGCACGTCGGTATGTTTGGTGGTGGCGCGACGAACCTCTTGAAGGTAATACGCCGCTTTCGAGACCCGAAAGATTGACAAGTCGCATCGACGGCAACTGCGTCAGCGGCCTGTACATCGGCTTGACCACTGCGGAGCAACACGCTTGCAATGTCTCGGGCGTTTTCAAGCGCTCAATCACTGCTCCTTTGGCCGCTCGTTCACATCAGCAACGTCACATGCGCCGTGTTGATGTACCTTGGATTTTTGGACGCCGTGGACCTCATCGTTGCTGCCTCCGTAGGGTGCCCACGCACAGATTGTCGATATTTCTTGTCAGCGACAACCGAATTGCGGGATTAGTGCGGCGATTACGGTCCAAATGAACGGCGTTGGGCCGTATACCGATGCTACAACGCTACTCGTGTTGGAGATCGTCGTCTATGCGAGTTGAAGATCGTCTGCGCCGAGTGTACGAGAAGGTTTGCAACCAGCACAAGATGCTGCTTCGATCAGCACAAAAATCGTCGACGATGTTCATTCTTGTTCCAGAGTGATGTTGCTTTCAATGGCTCACCGAATTGAACTCACTTTGCCTTTTCCCCACTCTCCAAACTCCTCATGTCGACCACGCTGCGCTCGTTTGCTGCGCTCGGCGTCACGCTCACGGCCACGGGCCTTCTCTACGCGCAGCTCACCGTCAAGTCAGCGTCCTCCCAGTTTCAGCCGACGCCGACGCTCGCGCCTTACAAGGCTGCGCATGTGGACGTGTTGACGGCGCGAATGGACGCACCGGTCGACTTGGCCAAGTTTGCGAGCTGCTTCTTCCGGTCGCCCGTGTTTCAGGCCGAGCGGGTGGTGCTGCGCCTCCTCGGCTACGGCGCGACGACCGACGATGCGATTGCGAATCTCGCGTTTGAGCCCAACGACGCCGTTGTCGTCTTCCGCGTCGTCGAACGCACGCCGGACGAGGTCGTTCTCGCGTGGGCGCTCTCGGACGACACGCGCGGCCACTCGTGGCTGCACGTGGCCGACGACGGCCGCTCGGTCGAGTACGCGACGACGTTCGCACCGACCCGCGCCATGCACTATGCGCTCGTGCCCTTCCACCTTGTGTACGCTCGCATCGTGCTGGCTGCCGCGCGCTACCAGTACAACAAGGAGACCGTGCCCATTTACGAACCCTAGTCTCTTGACCCACCACGTACTACTTTTATCTAACAATGCATACATCGAATTGCATCTTCCTTGGCTAGCATCGGCGATGACTATGTGGCGTCTGGATGCGTCGATGGAGGTGCGAGCAATACTGGCGCATGCGTCAAGGCTTGGAGATACATGATGCGTCAGTGTTAGCGCTCGATACCGTGAATGAGCTACGAGTCCAGGTGTTGTTTAGGACTCGAGGTGGCAGAGACCAAAGCCTCTCGACCTGTCCAACTCGAGGACATGAGAAAAGTACCGTGCCCCAAATGGCAGTCTCGTGTTGAATTGCTAAAGGTAGGGGGCAAAAGGGCGACTTAGAAGCGGGCGAGCGTGTCGAGGAGCGGAATATCCGAGACCTTGGACATGTACTCAATGTACTCACGGACCTTGGGCGGCCACGCGACGCCCTGGACAATCGTGAGCCCACGGAGACGACCGAAAAGGTCAATGTCGTCGTAGCTCAGCGTCTCGTTGACCGAGTGGGGCTTCTTGAGCATCGCTTCCAGTTGCAAGAGGAACGCGTTCAGCTGCGCAACGTACGTGGCGCTGTTGGTGATCGCGTCGTCAAAGGACCCGATCGTCTTTTCCTTCTTGTTCTTGTAGTAGTCGCGCGACGCTTGGGTCGCAAACTCGGCAAAGAGCGTCGCGTGGAAGCGCGGGTGGTACAGGTACCGCATGCACTCGGCCGAGTCCTTGATCCACGCCTTGAGGTCGGCCCGCGTCGCGTCGGCCTCGGCCAAGATGACCTTTTCGCCATAGGTGGCGTCGACGTAGCGGACAATGTCCATGGATTCGGGCATGACCAGGCCCGACGGCGTCTCGAGGATCGGGACGACCTTGGCACCGACAAGCCCGATCGGCGTCGCCTCGTCGTGGTTGGCGAGGAAGACGAGCTCGACCGGCAGGCCCTTCAGACCAAAGATCATGCGCGTGCGCACGCAGAACGGGCAGTGGTCGTAGATGTAGAGCCGCGGCAGCGCCGGCGCGGCCTTGGCCGCCACCTTCTTGGACGCAGCGGCGAAACCGAGGCCGGCGCCGACGGCGAGGCTGCTCGCGAGGCTCAGGGCAATGGCGGCCTTCGACTTGGTCATGCTTGCGTCAAAGTGAAAATGAACGCCTCACGTCACATCGCCTGTGATTGGCCAAAATTAAGATACCGAATTCGGCGCCCGCCGACCAGAAACGCTCGCGATTGACTGCAGCCCAACCACGGTGGCCCTGCGTGGAGCAGAGGAGGGACCGCGTGGCTCGCCTTTCGTGGACGCTGTCCTCGAGGCGATGGCTTGCAGAGCAAACGCGACTGGGTTGCTACGACGACCCATGTGCGATACCACAGGACTCGCGAGAGCGGATGCTCGCTTGCCCCAACGTGAGCAACGGGGCTCAGCGCTGCAAGGATCTAGTTGCTACGGCCTCACGAACAAGCCGCCAACCTAGCGTGGTTTGGCTGTTGATGCGCGGTCGGACATTCGCCTTGTTAAACGTTATTCCTTGGTGGTCTTGCGTGTCGTCAACGACAGACTAGATTTCCGGCCAGCCAATGAACACGCAGATTATGTAGTATACACTGTTTTAAACACTGGAGGCCTAATGCTTTTGCCTCAAAGTCGGTATCCCGCAGTGACTTGACGCAACATCGAGCGACTCGCAGCGATGCACGAGACGGAGCGACAGTTTGTCACTCTGCTCGTCCACCGAGCCGACTTGAATGGCATCGAATGCGTGGTGGCTTCATGAATTGTATAATACAACATTGCTGTATTAAACACATTTAAAACGTAAAAAGTGCAATGTCAGCCATGGCATCGCGGCCAGCGCGGTCGCTGCGCCTGTTGCTCCTGGGCCTTCTCTTCATGGCCACGAGTCTGCTCCTGCTCTATGCTTCCATCGTAAGCAAGTCGACATCCGAGGCTACCTTGCTGCGCCGGCGTCACCCCAGCACGTCTCTGCGCCGCGACAAGGTGGCGTACATGTTATATGCCACCGACACGGTCACGGCCTGCAATGCACTTATCATGGCCAAGCAGATTCGGCGCCTCGGAACACCCTCCTCGATCGAGATTGTGCTTTTGGTAACTGACAAGGTGGCCGACGCGACGCTGACCGCGCTCGAAGCCGACGGCACGCTTACGCTGCAGCTCGTGTCGCCGTGGGTGCAGACAAATGCCAAGCACTCTACGTGGTCGTCGTCCCTCACTAAGCTCCGCGTCTTTGCGTATTATGGCTACGACAAAGTCATCTACCTCGACTCGGACGCATGGCTGCACCGCAACTTGGACCACCTCTTTGACTTAAGTGACGCTGCGATGTTTTGGGCGCCGAGAGCGTACTACCGCCCGCCGCCCACGATCGCGTCGACGTTGCTCGTGTTGCGGCCGTCGTCAAAAGCGTTTGCGCAGCTGCAGGCCGCGGTGACGACGCAGTTTGCAGCGATGGCCGTCTACGACATGGACGTGCTCAATGCCATGTGGCCGGACGCGCGCGGCGTGCTCCCGAGCCACTACGTGGTGCTGAACGGCCACTTGAACTCGAACCTGACGCTGGACTTCGACTCGGTCGACGCGCGCATCAACGCCACGTACGTGACGCACTTTTCGTCATCGCCGGATGGCAGCTATGGCAAGCCGTGGAGGGTCGAGAAGAAGAAGATGCGACGACAGCCCGAGTGGCACCCGCGCTTTTACGCGCTCTTTGAAGCGTACTGGCAAAGCCAAGAGCTCTACTGTCCGTGGCTGCACCTGTAGATAGACACTAGAATACACAATATAGAGAGCACTTGACATCCATTGTTTCTACGCTTATTGCTAACGCGATTTATCTCGCACAGACAGATAGTGCACGTTGTCTAGCCACGCAAAGCGCGAGGGGTGCCATCGTTCTTGCGGTTGCCGGTGGTGGCGCCGCTCGTGGTGGCGCCGGTGTTTTTGAAGATGTCCTTGGACTGGTCATCGGCGCCGCTCTTGGTGATTTGGCCCTCTTTCACACTCTTGCCAGTGCTGTCGGGCATTACCTGAGTATTGGCACCAGTGCTCGTGCCGCTAGCTCCTGTGTAGCTCGTCGGTTGCGCGTCGTTTTTGCGGTTGCCGCTTGTGTTGCCACTAGTGTTCTTGAAGATGTCCTTGGACTGGTCGTCGTCGTCCTTGACGTCGGGGTTGCTTTTACCGCCGGTGTTCTTGAAGATGTCCTTGGACTGGTCACCGGTGCCCTTGACGTTGGAGTTGCTTGTGCCGCCAGTGAGACCTGCCGGCTGCGCGTTGCTGGTGGTGCCGCTCGTGTTGCCACTAGTGTTCTTGAAAATGTCCTTGGACTGGTCACCGGTGCCCTTGACGTTGGAGTTGCTTGTGCCGCCAGTGAGACCTGCCGGCTGCGCGTTGCTGGTGGTGCCGCTGTTCTTGAAGGAGACGTTGGATATGTCTCCATTGCCTTTGACGTTCGGATTTGTGCTGGCGCTGGTGCTGACCCGCATCTGCTCGGCAGCTACCAAGGTGCCAAAGAAGAGGAACGAAAGCAGCTTCATGGAGTGTTGCTGGCGGGCGGATAAATCGAGAACTGGTGTTGCTCTGTCGGTGCCGTGATTAGCGATTGGTCGCAGAGACCGTCGCTTCGAGCCAACAACGGCGGTTGCACCAAACATCGATAGATACGCTTGATTTGGGTTTTGCGTTGTAGCTACGCTGGAAGGATTCATTTCATTTGGGTTTGCCATGCGCAAAGCCTTACCCCTACCCTACCCTGGCCCAGAAAGTTCATTTCCTCCGTGGGCTTCCTTCCCTGAGGTGGAGCTGTGAAGACGCTGTGTTGGTACGCGCGTCGACCGAGTCGATGTTCAGGGTCAGGTGTTTTGGCGCGAATTGTGGAAAGGGCAAACTCGTATCCGGAAGTGGCACGGTATCCGGAGTAGCGACGTGGCTTCGAGTGACTCTGCCTTTCCGATGGCTGAAGCACCCGCCAACAACGAGGAGAGCTCGTGGTTCTCGTCGATCGTGCGCGCCGGCCTCATCTGGTACGGCGTCAACAAGGTCACATCCGTGCTGTGGGGCAGCGCCGATACGCCGACGACGACGGCACCCGCGCCAATGACGGGGCCGTCCATCGGCTTTCAAGCGCCGTCGCCCTCGAGCATCCAGGCGTTTGACGCGACGCTCAACCCGTTCGCCAAGTTTTCGCCGCTCACGCCGACCAACGAGCCGCTGCCAGGGCACCGCAACACCTTTGCGTACGGCGTCTTGACCAACATCCAAGTGTACGCTACGCCGTCGCCGACGTTTTCGTTTGACGACGACGAGGCGTCGCTGGTCTGGGACTTTTCGTCGGTCCATTACGGCTTTCTCGAGGTGCCTGTGGAGCACAAGGTCAATCTCAACTGGACCATGACGCCGTATCTGCTCAACAATGGCACGCTCCACGCGCACGTCTTCTTCACCAAGGCCGGCTACTCGCCCAACCCGTCCGACGAAAGTAATATCCTCGATTTCTCTACTTCCTGCACCTCAGGCGCTCACACAAAGCGTGTAGACTATGACGAACTCGCTACGGTCTACAAGCGCGTCGAAATGAACACGTACCGTCCGCGGGCCAAGATCGTCAAGCAGCGCAACTTGTGGCAGCGCCAGGCCGACGAGGCCGCCGAGGTCAACCTTGACGTTGCAGTCATCGACGAAGACACGACGTACGTCTCGCATTGGAAGCCGACGCTCACGATCCACGTGCTCGTCGACCACTCGGTGTACGCGCGCGGGCAGCCGCCGCAGCCGTTCGTGGCGCCGTACCTTCAGGTGGACCCGGTCTCGGGCAACTACCTCCCGGTACTGCACCTCAACGAGTTTTGGCTCCTCGACGAACAGCTCTTGCCGATCAACAGCAGCGTGCCAAGCCTGCCGCTCGAGGTCGAGTTTGCGGCCATTGGCATGACCAAGTTTGCCCTCTACCATCAGATGGACCAGTCGTTCAAGATGCAGCAATCGATGGGCACGAGCTCCAAGCGGGACACGGACGCCATGAAGAAGATGTTTGTCGACACCAACCCGTACCTGCTCGCAGTCACGTTTGTCGTGTCGATTCTCCATACCGTCTTTGATATGCTCGCGTTCAAAAACGATGTGAGCTTCTGGAAGAAGCAAAAGTCGCTCGAAGGCCTCAGTCTCCGGACTGTCGTCCTCAACGCGTTCTTCCACCTCGTCATCTTCCTCTACCTCGTCGACAATGACACGTCGTGGATGATTCTCTTCAGCTCGGGGCTTGGCGTCGTTCTCGATTTCTGGAAGATCAAGAAGGCCATCAAGATCAGCCGCGACGCCGACGGCAAGCTCGTGTTTGCTGGCGAAGACAACTACGTATCGTCGTCGACCGCCGAGCACGACCGCGTCGCCGTCGCGCATGTGTCGTACATCATGTACCCGCTCCTCGCGGGCTATTCGTTGTACAAGCTCATTTACGCCGAGCACAAGGGCTGGTACTCGTGGGTGCTCTCGAGCCTCACGAGCTTTGTGTACGCGTTTGGCTTTATCATGATGACGCCGCAGCTCTACATCAACTACAAACTCAAGTCGGTCGCGCATCTGCCGTGGCGCGCCATGGTGTACAAGTCGCTCAACACGTTCATTGACGACCTCTTTGCGTTTGTGATTACGATGCCGATCATGCACCGCCTCGCGTGCTTCCGCGACGACATCATTTTCTTTGTGTACCTCTACCAGCGCTGGATCTACCGCGTCGACAAGTCGCGCGTCAACGAGTTTGGCCAAGGCGGCGACGAGCCAACGGCGCTCGAGACCACGCCGCCGCCGACAACGAACGACGAGGCGCCCGTGGCGACGATTCCGGACCGTCCGACCCCAGACAGCACGACCACCCAGCGCCGCGCCAAGACCGACCGCGTGCCGCAGTAGAATTTATGTGATTTTGATTTCAAGACATTTTACCGCGTGGCTTTTGGCGCCTTTTTTTTGGCTTTTTTCTTCTTTTTCTTCTTCTTTTGCGCCGCCTTGAGCTGATGTCGTGTGCGGTACCCGCGAAAGTGGGCTTGGATCTTGGCAATGTACCGGAACGCCAGGGCTTCCTTGGACTCGCGCACCTAATAGCGCAGGACCGTCAAACGATCCGGAGGGGTAGGGTAGGGGTAGGGTCGATCACCTTGCGCTCGTCGTCCCAGCGCGCCACATCAGCGGCCGTGCGACGGTCGTTTTCATCCATGATGGCAAAGTGCTCGACGAGCCGGTCGATCTCGGCGGCGTCCGACGCGGTCGCGGACCGCAGTGCGTCGATGTCCGCTTGCAGCGCAAAGAGGTCTTGGTCGTAGCGCTCGAGCAGGCTCCCGAGTTCGACGGCGCCCTTGAGCTTCTTCTTTCGATGGCCCGTCTCGACATAGTGGTGCTGGTCCTGCACGTGGACTTGGGCGACGCTGCGTGTCGACACTTCGTCGCGGAGCCGTGCGTTCTACAGCACCGGAATATCGACGAAAATGAAGTCGCTTCGTACATCTTCTTCAAATGTGTTGAGGAGACCAAACTCGGCTTGCTTGGCGTCTTGGTCGATGAGCGCATTTGCTTGCTCGGTGCCATGGTTGATGTCGTGGAGCTCCGCTAGACGAGAACATTTGAAAATTGCAAAATACACAAAATGTCACTTTTGAGCGCGAGAATTTTCTTGAGATTTTGTCGGCTCGCCGCGTCGCGCGCCTCGTGCTGCGCCCGCACTTCAAACAGCATTTGCTTGTAGTCGTGTTCGGCTTCGCGGATGCGGACCTTCATGTCGCTCAGGAGCGCGCGGTGCACCTCGTCTTCCTCGACCGACGTGCTCAGCGTGATGCGAACGCGGTCCCGGACCGCGGCCACATGCCCCGCAAAGGCCGAGAGGCCCGTTGGCGGCGCATTGTTGTTGCTGTGGTGCTGGTTGCTCTTGTGCTCAGCCTACAAGTGCCACCGCGTCCATCGCCCAACTAAGCTTTTTAGCAATACCAATAAGACACTGGTGCCCTGCGCGTGCCGGTACATGGCCCGGCAGAGCGCGCGGGTACTGGCCTTGGCCAAGCCAAACGCCGCTTCGCCCTCCTCGGACGAGAGGTCGACGCGATCGGGCTGCGTCAAGTGCGTGAGCAAGTCATCTTCCGCGAGGAAGTGGTTCTCGAGCGCGAAGGCGGCGTCGCTATCGAGCTGGCTGCACACGGCTTTGAGCGCAACGGCGGCGAGGTGGTTGCTGTTGACGTCCTGCGTTGGCGCAGGCACCGTCGATAGCAAATGCAGCTTCTCGACGGCCTCGCTGAGCAGCGAGAGCACGCGGTCGCTCTCGACGCAAGTAAACCGGCTCATGCCGCCGACATGCGACTGCCGTTTCACTGCGATCACGTAACCAACTGCATCACTTGCAGTCCATGCAAGACAGTTTGTCTGCGCGGAGTCCATGACCTTGAGAAGAGGACGATATGTGTATGGACAAGCATCGACAGCAGGCGTGAACTCGAAAGCGGGGCTGTGACAGCTCGGAAGATCCCCCAGAGCGCCACTGGACTGGTACAGGACATCCGCGATGCGCGGTACTCGACCGATGCCATCTGGACACGGACAACGCAGCGATCGATGCGATTTGCTGCCATCCCGTCGGCCTTTCTCGAGTGCGACTGCGACAATGAGCGCAAGCTCATGCTGACCGGACGGGCTCCATGTGGCAGATGCCCTATGAGCACAGTCCGCAGCAGGCCGCAGCACCAAGACCAAGGTGGCTTTGGCCTGCAGCGCTCTCTGGGTCCCTTCGCACTATGGTTAATCGACTTTATGGTTAATCGACTTGGCCGAGCTGGCGTGGCGAGCTTGGATCGGCATCCCAGGCAGATCGCGCCTATTGATTGGCTGGCTTTTCAGCCAATCACAACCGACTGAATCATCGCTGAATCATTCTGGCCTTTCTGGCTTGCCATGGGAGGGGGCGTCGCATGGACCAAGGGCAGCACGCTCGGCTTCACACGCTGGAGCCAAGAGCCCTTCGAGCTCTCGCCCGTGGAGCTTGCGAGCTTGGACATTCCGGTCCCGCCAGGCCAGCCCACGACGGGGCTACTGCTGCGGTACCGGGACCACGCGCTGCTCGTCCATCACGCGTCCGCAGTCGCCAGCGACGACGCGACCAAGCGCATGCTCGAGTTTGTGGGTCGATCGCTCGACAGCGTGCGCAAAGCCAACAAGTACTTTACCGCCGCGGCGACGGTCTCCGTGCGCTTCTACGTCGGGTCCGAGGCCGAGCGCGACCAGTGGCTGCAGCTCGTGCTCCTCAACACACAGGTGCAGCCACATGTCGTTGCGACTCCTGTGCCACCCGCACCGCTTGAGCTGCCAGAACTCCCAGCTACATTGAGCGCGGCGCCAACACCTCGCCGCCTCAGCGAGACGATCAATGACGGTTTCCAGAGCTTGGCGAACGCTGAGGCCTGCGAGGACGCTTCGGACACGATTGGTGCCCTCGCTGCGTACCGAGAAGCCCACGCGCGCTTCACGCAAGTGCATCCGCAGCTGCCAATGAACAAGACGCGGGAGCTCATTGCTGACAAATGCAATGAGATCCAGGCCATCATCGACGACTTGATGGCCCCTCGACCAGCGACAACAACGTTGGCGCCGGCCACCGCCACAGCACCGCCGCCACCATTGGTCTCCTCCGCTAACGACGCACCCTTTTCGCAGCATGACATCGCGGGCCCACTGCCAGCACCCGCACCAATTCCTACGAACCTCGACGAGCGGCTGAACCGTCTGCAAGGATTCGCCGATTCGCTCCAGGTGGAGAAGGCTCGGGCCGAGAAGAGCACCAAGAAGTCGGACTTGGAGCTCCGTTTTGCAGCGTTGAAGAACGAGGCCAGCCGCGCTCCACCGCTCGAGTCGCTGGAAGCACGACTGACCAAGCTCCGGGGCGGAACCCCTAGCCCTGTGAGCAGCAGCCGCAACGTCGCCGTCGAGTCGGCCATTGACCTCGCCCTCGAGTACGCAATGAGCGGCGAGGACGGGAGCCCACAGGCGGCGCCACACGCTCGGCAAGTCGACGATCTCATCACGCAGGTCCAGCACGAGATCGCGCTGGGTATGCAGGATGATCCGACACGCCTCTCCCTCGACAGCAGCGAGATCAGCGACGACGACGCGTCTAGTAGTAGCTCCGACTCGGACGACGCCACTTCACCGCGCTCCAGCCAGCGTGCCAAGCGTGGAAAAGCCCCCTTGTAATCGAAACGAACGTATAAAAAGGTTGGTTGACTGCATAAGCCGCGAGTCCTACAGCGTGGCGACCGTGATGGGCGTAGCGAGCGAAAAGTGCGTCGGCGTGAGAAGCGCACTGAGCTTCTCGTCGTGCTCGCGGCGGGCGAGGCGCCGCGTGTACGCTAGGACACCGATGGCTACCACGGTCGCTGCCCCAGCGACGACAAACCCAAACACAACCGCCGGGCTGTTGTACGTCATGGCGCGGGTGTCGGCCGTCAAGGTCGTCGTCGATGCCTGCGAAGCTATCGGCGATGCTTGAGATGCGACGGGCGATGCGACAGGCGATGTGAGAACGGGCTGCGAGACGGCCAACACAGGCACCACACAGGTTGACTGTGCTCCGATCGAAAGCGATACGTCGACGACCGAGGCGTTGGCCGTTGTGTTGACCGACGTGCCGCGGACGCCGATGCTGTTGGCGCCCGACGGCAATGCCGTGTTGAACGCTTCCGACGTCAGCGTCCACGTCCCTGTCGACGCGTTCTCGGCGCTCGCCATGCAATTCCACGTATCCGAAATGGACGCCACGTGAGCTGCGCGGACGTCAATGCGCCACGGGCCTGCGTCACCCGAGCTTTGCGCCGTGAGGTAGACGTAGAGAGCAAACCCACCGGGCCAGACCGACCAGGCATATGTGGCATCGGCGCACGTTTCTTCAAGTGTCGTGGCGGGAGGTTGCGTCATTGGTGGCGTCGAGGCCACGGGTGTCGTCGTCAACGTCGGTGAACTCGTCGCGGAGGGGCTTGAGCAGGGGGTCGAAGTGGTCGTCGTCGTCGTTGGTGGTGGTGTCTTTGGTGGTGATGTTAGCATTGGTGTTGAGGTCGGCGTTGGGGCAGCGGACGGTGCTGGCGCCGGGGGCAATGTATTTGGGCTACTACCCGAGGTACCAGCAAACTGGTTGGTGCCTACGAGGGTCTGACCGATGGCGAGACCCGGAAGTGTATCGAGGACAACTTGTCCATCCGTCGACGTCACGCGCACGTCAAAGGGACCCGGCGGAAACGCGGACGCAAACTCGCCAATAAAGAGGAACGTCGTGATGCTGCTGGCCGACGGCGGCGCCAAGAGGTGCCACGTGTCGTCGTTGGCCGTTCGGATTTCAAACGATGCGACTGGCATACCAAAGTTGCGCGGTTGCAGTCCGACCCAAAACTTGTTGGACCCTGCGTCGACAAAATACTCGATCGGGCCCGAGACAAAGTCGTTGGAACAAGGCACAAAGTCCCACGCGATCGAGACGCGTGTCGGGTCGAGTCCCGTGAGCGCTGCAAAGGCTACGTCACGACTTAGTATCAATCTATCAATTCCGAGAGTGCACTTTTGTACCTTGGTTTGAAAAATCCAGCGAGCCATGGAGACACTCGGGGCACTGGTTGGTGATGAGCACGACGACGGACGACCCGGTGCACGCGGCGCTGGTGCACGTGACGCGCGCGCACCGGCCGCAGTTCATCGCATCGTCCCACTGCGGCGCATTGATGGCGGCAAAGTACGTCTGGCCAGCGCTCTTGCTGGATCCCCAAAGCGACGTAAACCCGCAGTTGCCGCCGACCCAGTCGCTCGAGTACGCCGTGCCGTCGCCCGTATACGTTGCTTGCGCCGAGAAGGCGCCGAGCAGCAGAGGCAGCCACCGCCAGCCCTGCATAGTCAAAGAAAGGACAAATGACCGCGACCGCGCGACGTGCGATGCTATAAATATGCCGATCCGACGTCGCCCATCTTGGCCGATACCCTTGCCATCAACATGGCGACCCGACCAAGTTAATTGTACACAAATGGTTTTTGTTCTGTATTTTTAGGTTGAATTTATCTTGCAGTTTCGCATTTTGTTGTGGTGTCCATTTGGCTTTCGTATTGTTTACTTGGAGTTGTTGTGGGCCTAGACGGCCGCGTCGGCTTCGTCACCGAGGCTGCACTGAGAAATGAGTGCCTGAAAGTCCTTGATCGCGTCCATCATGTTGGCGGCGGCCTCCGCCTTGTCGCTCAGGAGCGGTCGGCGGAAGCGCAGCACAACTGGCTTGCGCGCCCACGCCTCGGACGTTGTTCGTGGCGACACTTCGACGCCGTTGACGCGCAAAAGGACGTCGCCGTTGCGCATATGGTGGCCGCCGATCGCGGTTTTGCGCGCGTCGAGCACGAGATTGCGAACCGCGAGAACGTTGTGGCCGACGCGCCCGAGCGTAAAGTTGAAGTCGCCGTCAAACACCGTCCAAATGACGTCGTAGAGTACTTTGGGCAAGCGCGTTTCGAGCTCGACGGACGACGCGCCATGCGATTTACATGTGGTCGCCGACATAAAGTCGAGTGTGAACGCGACCTTGCGCTCGTCGCGAAAGGCAATGATCGACGCCATCGCGTCATACGCCGTCGTGCCAATCACCGAGCAGCCGTTGATGTTGATGAGAAAGTCCATCTCGCGCACGCCGTGGTGGAACGCAAGGCCCTTCTCGTCGACGTACGAGAGCACGATGCCGCCGTCGGCCGAGCCCACGAGCTGAATGCCGAGCTGCGCCGACGGCGGGCACTCGAGGTGGATGTTGGGCCGCAGCATATTCTTCTCACGTATCGACACTTGCAAAATGCGCTTTCCATGCTTTTGGCAATCTCGCTTTTCCGCCAAGCGAAAAAATCCCCTAACCTCACCTCACCTACCCCTATAGATGGCTTTTTCACAGGTATACCTCGATCGATCGAGCATCGAGCATCGCTTGGGCGATAGCGCTTGTTTGTCGAGATGGCTTTGCGTACAGAGAGATGGGCCACATAATACTCAAGGAGGAATAGCGTGGATGCAGGCTCCTGTTCTTCGGCCACCCGACAGAGGAATCTCTGACCTTATCGGAAGATCGATTCGATCCACCCATGTAAACGCGCTTGGATAGAGTTACATGAACGTATCTCGAGTGATCTTTGTTGAACATAGACTTTGCACCAGTAGGGACTAGGAATTTCCTTCATCTTCACTCGCCGGGCCTGCGCACGGCGGTGCGTCTAGCTCGTCTGTCGTCGCCCGGTATGTGTGCGAATATGGTGTCAAGTGTGTGCATATGGTGTTAAAGTACTATCATTTAAAGTGAGTGGTATCGCGCCATCGTCGTCTACTGGGCGTGCTATATAGTAAGGTGCGTGACGTTAGATCCAGACGCCGTCGCCTTCTTCCTCTTCTTCGTCCGAATCCGAGTCGTCGTACTTGCTCGGGTCCAGCATCGACATGCGCTCATCAGCCTCCATCGTCAGCTTCTTGAACAAGTTGATCTGGTCGTCGCTGAGGCCCGTAAACTCGGCAATGTCGCCGTCGCCCATCATGATCATCGACATGCGCGCCTGCTTGACGACCTCGTGCGCTTCTTCGAGCTGCTTGGCCATTGCAAAGTTCTGCTCCTCGCGGGCCCGAAGCAGCTCGGCGTCCTTGTCAAACTCGTCGTCTTCCTCTTCCTCATCTTCGTCGTCCATCGTGTAGTGGTGCTCGTCGTCGTCAAAGCTGCTCACGCTCATCTTGGACGGCGACCGGTGGCTATCGTCGTTGCCAAACGTCTTGCGCATCGGCGGCTCGGGCGTCGACACCTGTCGCATCTTCATGTGGCTGTCCGAGCGCGACCGCTGCAAGTCGGGCTTGTAGAAATGCGCAAACTCGGACGGCGCGTCGTCATCGTCGGCCGCTTCGTCGCCTTCTTCAATGACCGCCTTGGGGTCGTCGCCCGCCGACATGCGAATCGACTGGAGGTCTTGGTCCGACCGTTCGCGCTGCGCTTGGAGCTTGCGGGCCAGCTCCTCCTTGCCATCGGCGCGCGCCTTGTCCTCCTCGGCCTTGAGCATCCGCGCGAGCTCCTCCTTCCCGCGCTTCTCCCGCTCCATGCGGTCGCGGTCGCTCGAACTCGACGACCGGTGCCCGTTAAAGTGGTGGACCGGGTTGCCACCGCTTTTTCGCAACTCTTCGAGCTCGTGGAGCATCTTCTCCGCTTCGAGACGCGCGTTGCGCTCCTCGACCTCGTTGTGCAGGAGGTCTTCGCGCGTGCTCGGGCGGCGATACAGGCCACCTTTTGGCAAAGGCGCAGGCGCCTCGTCGGTCGTCGCCTCGTCTTGGTCTTCGTCTTCTTCGACAATGGTCGTGTGGACAGTCGCGTTGTCCGCAACGACGATCGGCTCGCCGTAGAACGCTTCCCAGCAGCTCGTGCAGTACCACTGCCCGTCGTCGTCGAGGAAGAAGGGCACAGCGAGCGACTCGAGGCAGTGGCACTCGGCGCACGTCTTGCGCGCCTTCTTCGTCGGCAGCGCCGTCTTGGTGATGTGACTCAGATCTTCCAAGATCGACTGGCGCATCATGTCGTACTGGTCGAACGCCGTGTCGTCCGCCGCGCTGTTTTCAGCTGCGGCCGCAAAGCTCTCGTCTTCGGTCTCGTAGTTCTCGCGCCGGAACGGCGTGATGACCGACGCAAGCTGCGCGAGCATGTTGTTTTGCTGGCCAATGACCTCGACGGGCTTGTTCTCGGTCGCCGACCGCAGAATGCGCTCGCGTTGCTGCAGCGCGAGGTACTCTTCGTACTTCTTGGCCTCTTCCTTGACGCGCTCGAGGGCCTCGGCCAGCACTTGGGCCTCCCGCTCGGCGCGGGTCAGCGCCTCCTTCTTCTCACCGCGCTTCTTCTCGGCCTGCGCCGCCACGTACGCCTTGGCTGCAACGCGAATGAGATGCGCCTCCTTTGTGCCATCGACAATCTCAGAGAGCAGGACGCCAGCAAACGCGTCGGTGAGCGGGTCCAAGCCTTGCGACGTCGCGACGAGCTGCTTGGCCACGTCGAGCGGGATCTGCTCGCGCTTGGGCGTCGCGGCGCGGGGCGGGTCGACTTCGCGGGCGCTGGGGCGGAAGCGCAAGATCGCGGGCTTGGGCGTGTGCTTGAGGAGGCGGAGCGTGCCCGTGTACGAGGCGCCGTCGACGGTCTTGCCGTTGACCGAGACAAGGACGTCGCCGACGTGGGCGTTGTGGAGGCCGCTGGCACTGCCGCGGCCCGTGAGGCGCGAGATCATGGGAACGTCGGCGGGAGTTGGCTTGAGCTTGAGCCCAAGCTCGCCTTCGCGCCACACAATGTCGTAGAGGCTCGTGTCGACGACGTTCGGGCGCGCCGAGTCGAGGACGACCGACGCCACCGACGGCTTCTCGGCCTCTTCACCGCGTTTGCGCGACGGCCGCCGGCGCATGCGTTTGAACTTGAGCACCGCGGGCTTTGTGATCGACTTGAGGAGCGAGATCGACGACCGGAACCCGATCTCCTTGGTGTCTTGGCCGTTGATGACGAGGAGGATGTCGCCGACGCGCGCGCGGTCAATGCCACTCGTGCCGACGCCCTTGCCTGTGATTTTTCGAATGCATGGAATGTGGCAGTCGTCGTCGTCCGGCCGGAAGATCATGCCGAGTGGGCCCTCGGTCCAGACAACCGTGTACGTTTCGCGGCGGGGCTTGACCGGCGCCGACGTCGACGAGGTGGCCGAGACCGTCGACGCCTCGGACGACGTCGACGACGAGTGGGCGAGGACCGGGGGCGGCAGCACGACGGCGTTTGCCCGCTCGCGCTCGCTGTCGCGCTCTGATCGCCGCCGGTGTTCCCGCTCGCGGTGTTCTCGCTCGCGGTCGCGCTCGATGCGGTAGCTTTCGCCGCGCGAGGTGCCCAAAGCGGCGGCGCTCGAGACGCCACGGCGGTACTCGCGGTGCGACGACGACGACGAGTGTTCGCGCCGACGGTCCAATTCGGCGCCTGTGCTGTTGCGCGCGCCGAGTGTCAGAAGCGACTTGGGTATCCGGAAGCGCAGAATCGCCGGCCGATGGATCGTCTTGAGCATCTCGACCGTCGCGTCGTACCCGCGCCGCGCGGTATCCATGCCGTTGATGCTCACGAGCATGTGGCCGACGGCGACGCCGGCCTTGGCCGCTGCCGAGTCTTCGCGCGTGATGCGGCCGACGACCGGCGGCATGTCCTCGCCGAGGTCCGGACGCAGCGTCAGCCCCAAGGAGCCCTCGCCCCATGAGACCTGGTACTCCATGAGCTCTACGACGACTACGGGAGATTGGCTGGCGTCAATATACTGTCGCCCACGGACTTCAAGATATCAAATGCTACAGGAACCCTCCGGATAACGGCAGGCGCCAGTGCAAACCGGTTCGGTTCAAAACCCGGTTCAAGCTCTCGTACCGCCACCCTCGGACGCTGCGTTCACGCAGCGCCGCTAACCGCGCGACAAGCAAGACACCCACCCTGCCCACGATTGCCCTTGCGGCGTACGAGACAGGTCGCGCGGTATTATCGGGACAGTATGCGGTAGGGATATGGCGCCAACTGTAGTCGCAGTTGCAAGCCAGCCAAAGTAGCACGCGACGCCGGCGCAGCGTCGTCTTGGCCGATCCCCTGCAGCGCAACTTGGGGCTCTTCAGGACGGGCCTCGTAGGCGCGCTGGTGCCAACTGAGCGCAAGCGCATGGCGTTGAGGGCTTTCAGGCCCGGTCCGACGGGAGTGAACCGGTTGGCCTGCGGAACGTCAGTCCCATGAAACCTCTCACAGTTGATATTATCCGGATACCGCTCCCGAGCAAGGGACTCGCGGTGAGTATGGTAAGAACATGCGCGCGTTGGCCAATCAGCGTGCGACTTTGCATTTTTATTGCGACGCAAGAAGAAACGTGTCTGTGACTACCTTGGGTTTGTATCGGACCGGCAATAAACACGCTGTGGAATTTATATTACTGTGCCATCCGGATAAACAGGCGCGTGTGTAATCCGGACGAACTCGGATCGATTGCCCACCCACACCCCGTGCATCCAGGTGCGTCGTACTGTACACAAATGCCTAGTCCATATTCGTAATATAACGTTAGTATATTGCTAAAACGACCAATATGCTAAAACGACCAATACATATATTGCATGCAGACACTCTCACAACGAAATATGTCTATTGCCAGTTGCCAGTGGGCGCGGTGGGACGATGCCCTGGTCCAGCGTGGGCTTCAACGAGGCGCCCTTGGCGATCGCGCGACGGTAATACCGTGTGCGACACTAGTACACACTGCAATATACAGTGTTTGTTCGCATGCTTTTGTGCACATATGCAGCTTCTGCCAGCGCCAGGCCGTGTCAACGCCACTTACTTAAGCGGTGTACGTCGACAGAATCCAAAGCGTCGAGACGATCGAGTTTTGCTTGCGCTCGAAGCGCGACAGACTATGGTAGCCAGCGGATACGAATCTCGAAATCTTATTTAGCGCCGCTCGCTCTTAGTGCTTGGTCCTTATCGGGTCGTCGTGTCGGGTCCGATATCGACTTTGAACGATGATGTCCAAACAAACGTGGACGCCGCTCAAGCGTTGAAATGTTCACGGTTCCAACGTTAAGGTCTATGGTAATGGACACATTGTTTTGCCCTTGGAAACGTCGTCTTCTTGTGCAACAATGAGCTCTGCTCGTGTCAGTCCTGCGTCTTGTCGCCTTGATAGCGCCGTTTCCAAGTAGTGGAAGAGGTTTTCCGCACAAGGCCGAGCGCTCAAAAGCCCAAGAAAAAGTACAATTACGACTAAAATCCACGCGCAGAGCAAGCGAGCTCGAGCTATTCACAAACTTGTCGTATCAGTCAAGAGCCTCGCCCACCACTGGCATGGTGGGCACCAACGCGGTTATTGCCCAAGTATATAGCTCGGTCTTGTTGATTTTGTTCTGTATGGTTGAATTTGCCACTTCAAGTCTCCACCTTGCAACGTTTAATGCATTAATGCACTTGCTCCACTGTAGCATACCTCGTCCAAGAACCAATATATCGACGTGCTCTAAAAGAGTTCTCGCACTTCTGCGTGGAGATACTCTTGCGGCTCGGGCGTCCGCAGCGACAGCGTCCGCGTCGTTTCGCCCGTTGCAAATGACATGGCCTCGACGATGACCGTGTCGATCTCGACAAGCGGCGCCAGCGTATGCTCCTACGAACGGTGGTTGTGGCAGGCGGTGCGTTCTCTTTCGTACGTTGTGTGTCAAGAGCTGCTCAATGTCGTCGTGACGGTAGATACCATAGAGGTTGGACGCGCTAATGCGGCACTTGTAACTTCCTACGCTCGCATCGCCTCCTTAGCTCGATAGCTAACGCACCCGTCTTGTCACGGCCGAGGCGAATGTCGAGCGGCGGTGTGCCACCCGGTCGCGGCTTGATCTAGCTCCGACAGACGATTTTGACCTCCTAGAAACAGAGATGTCGACGCTATACCAGCAGCCCGGTCGCGCCAAAGAGCTCCTGAAGCGCAAAGTACGAGTCTGTGCCGCTGCCACCACGAGTAGTGTGTGAATCGATCAAGAGGTCAGGAGACGGCACCTGTGGGTGCGGCTGCAGCGTCGCATGATGCGGTCGGATGCCTCGAGGCACTGGTCCTTGGGCAAAAACCTTCGGTACATAGTCCCATAAGGATCGCACACAAGATTGCAGTCGTATCCTACTTTTGAACGATGCGCTTGACCGCCGCGACAAAGGCTTCAGTCCGGTGATCGCCGACAAACCGAACCCCTAGGACCATGTTATGCACTAAGCTAGGGTGATGGGATCAACCGTTGAGCATTATGTCTTCACGCACAGCGTCTCGAAAGGCCTGCGCCGTGTCAACGTCGCAGTGGGAGGAGAGCGGAAGTCGACCCCGCAATAGGTGCGAGCCGAGTACTTCGATAAAGTCTGCCTTGCGGCTCGATACAACGCGCTTCCGTACCGCTTGCACAAGACGCGGGTCCAAGATCGCGTCGAAGTCCTCGCTGTTGTCGTTGTTGCTCATTGTGAAACGTTAAACTGCGAACTTTTGAGGTCGTCCGCGGTTCGATCCCCACTTTTCATAAAGTTTCTGTCAATTCGCCAAGAGGAATCATCATCAACGTCATCACAGCAAAAAAAAATAAGCATAAGTCGTTTGCCTCCGTAGCTGGAATATGCGTGGAGACTGTCGTCGTTGGAAGCGAGATCGAGCCGTACCCACTCGCAATGTGGTACAAGTAGCTCGCGCGAGGTCTCTGTACGCGCTGCAAGTATACTAGTACACGTTGCTATTAAAACCCCTCAAATATGTTATCCTGGCTTCCGTCGTAGTCGGCGTCATTGACGCGCAAGCCCTGGTCGCCGTCAAAGAGAGACGTGTCGTAGCGACTGGTGAGCTGCGGCACATACGGCGTCTCGAGCGTCTGACTTCGCAGCGCGTCCCAGTCAATCGACGCAAACCAGGGGTGGCCCATAATGTCATTCGGCCCCGAGACGCCCATGCCGAGGCGCTTGGTCGGGTCGCCATGCAGAAGCTTCTCGACGAGGTCGCACACCGCGGGGCTTTCCGCGAGAAGGTCGGGGGGGAACTGCACCGCGTTCGCCCCGGTGCGCACAAACGCAATGTTCTTGAAGAGGCTCGCAATGTCCCCGTCCGGCGTCTCGAACGGTGTGTACCCCAATAGCATTTCGTAAATGAGCACTCCAAGCGCCCCTACATAACAGCATTATCTTGTCTGTTGGTGACAAGACGATGTACAATAATCGACGGCAATGTCGTGGCCCGTATTTAGCACAAACTCGGGCGCGAGGTACTCTTGGGTGCCGCAGAGCGTGTAGCTGCGCGCATTCACCTCGGTCGTGCCGTCTTCGTTGGTGACTGTGAACGGAATTTTCTTGGCAAACCCCATGTCGACGATCTTGAGGTACCCCGTGGCACTACGAAATTCCATCAAAATTCATCAAATTCATCAAAATTCATCAAAAAATCTCTAAAACAGCAAAAATGCATCTCGAAGCGCCATACCTCACGAGAAGGTTCTCGGGCTTGAGATCGCGGTACGCAATGTCGCGTTTGTGCAAATGCTCGAGGCCCAAGTAGACGCACGCGGCGTAAAACTTCATGTCTTCTTCGTCGAGGTCCCGGCCGCAAATGTCCGTGTGGAGTACGCTGAAGAGCTCACCGCCCTGGACGAGCTCGAGAAGCATGTATAAGTAGTTGGCGTCCTAATCGCGTGTCCAATATAGTCCTCTTTTCGATATTTATAAAATGCAAGTACCTGGTACGTGGCGTAGAGCTGTACGACAAACGGGTTGGGCGGCAGCTCCTTGAGAATCATGCGCTCGCGCATAATGTGTTCTTGCTGCTGGCATTCGATCACATGGGCTTTCGAGACGCACTTGAGCGCGAGGAGGTACTCTTCGGCCTCGTAGAACGCTTGCACCATCGTAACCCGGCCAAACGAGCCTTCGCCAAGAACCCCAATCTACATGTACATTTGCGCACGCTTTCCAGCGCCTGAGACGTACGTGGACGAGGTCTTCGAGGTCGAGGTTGCTCAGTGGATGGCGGTAGAAAAGGCCGCTCACGTTGGCAATGTTCGCGATCGACTGGCGCCGCGTGACAATGCCAAGCGACACGTTGGCTTGGGAGAGCCGAAGGCACGTGACTTGGCCAACGCACGTCGCGGTGGATTTGTAGTCGCCGCCCCTAATGCGATAGTTTATCGTTTGAAACGAAGAAACGTCGTCGGTACGTGATGGCTTCGCCGCCAAACGAGTCTTTGACGTTGAGTTCGAGCGGAATGTTTTCGTCTTCGAAATCTTGGACGTTGACTTGGCCATCGCGGATGATGTAAAAGTACTCGGCCGGCAGGTCCGGTTGAAAGATGATATCGCCATCGTCGTACTCGACGATCTCAAACATGTTCGTGATGCTGTCGAGCTCGTCGTCGGTGAATTCGGCAAAGTGGTCGTACGTGCGCAGCGCGCGCTTGATGCCGTTGGACTCGAGGATCGCGGTGAGCGGTCCGATCATCGAGATAAAGTCGGCCCGCATGAGCCGCACGCATTTCACAAGCCCAATCGCGCGCACGGTGCAGTTACGTGGCTGGTCGTTGAGGAGCGCGGTCTCGCCAAAGTAGTCGCCTTGGTGCAACCGCGCAATCTACCTCGTGTTAAACTCCTTTCAAAAAACAAGATGTCCATGTCACCTCGGACTTGGACGACGACATGAGAATCAAATTACGCTTGGAGCCGGCGACCGTGCACCCGACCGTGCCGGACGCCACAATGTAAAAGGCGTCGCCGCGGGACCCTTGCTGGACGATGACGGCGCCGTCTTCGAAGGTCACTACTTCGAGACACCGGTTCATGGACGTGAGCTGGCGCGACGTGAGCCCGGTAAAAAGTGGGACTTTTTGCAGCCACTCGGAGCGCTTTCCGAGCGACTCCATCGACGATTGCGCTTGGATCTATCGTAGATAGTTAGATGGAGCGGACGACAGGATACGTGCGGACCGCGCGAAATTCATTGCGCCCAAGTGTCCAAAGCTTGCAGTCGCTGGTCGCAATCACGGTCGCCGCGCGCGGGGCTACGATTATGACATCGTGTCAACTGCGATACACGAATGCCAGTACCGTCGTAAATGAGCGCGAGTTCGCCAAAGTGCCCACCGGCCGTGACATCGCCGACGTGGACATCGTTGACGAGGCATTCGCAACTGCCGTCTTCAATCACTAGAAGACAGTAATAGTGCACTGCATAGTCTCGAAGTGGCAACGTACCGTAGAATTTATCGCCGTGGTCGTGTTGCCGAATGATGACGTCCCCAGCTTTGACGCTGACGCTTGTCATGACCGAGACCACCTAGCGCGCGCTCCAGTGTGTGATGCGGCGACGTCACGTACCATGTCCATCTCGCCCTCGGTCGTCGCCTCGAAAAGCAGTGCCTGAATGTTCTCCTTCAAGAGCTTGCACGTCTCGGGGCTCTTCTTGCTCGACCGCGGCTCGTCGTTCTTCTCGCCGCGCACCGACTTGGAGTCCTACGCCATGACGCCCACGATGTCATCGGCTTGACACCATCCAAGTCTACGTGTCCAGGCTCAAAGATATTGACGCGCTTTTTTCGCTGGCCGAGGCTGCTCCGCTCCGAGGTGTGTGAGACGCGACGCGTCCAGACGCCGCGCTTGGCCGTCGGGTCGGCCCGCACGGCGTGTATTGAGCTGGCGTACATCTGCGACCGACTGTGAGATGTCTCGCATCGCGAGGTCCTACCTTCTTCAGGTGCTCGAACACAGCTTCGTCGCTCACGTGTTGCTGGACGAGGTTCGTGTACTCGTTCTTGAGGAACCGGAACGACTGCAGCGAGACGTCGGGCTCGTCTGGCGCCACCGACGCGCCCGCGCCCATGCCTCTCTAGTCGCAAATATATGTTGTTCAACAAACGACGCCTTTTTATAGACGGCGGTTAACCAGCACTAGAGCGTTTTGCGGGCAGAAAGGGCGTCGCGCCTTGCACCAAGCGGGGAGCGCGCGCGGTCGCGTTCGAGTGCTTGGCCATGCGTGTGCCAAATTGAATCGCTTGTTTCGGCAACCCCGTGCAGTGGCGAAGTCCCAATCCGCGGGCCACAACACGCAATAGCAGCTTGTCACCGACCCCCCGCGGCTGGGAAAAATCCACAACATCGTCGAGCGGCGTTGCCGCCAAGAAGTTCACGACATGCTCGTCCAGGTACGGGAACCGGGCTTCGCGTCCGTGGTCCGAGATCATGCGGTCGTCGCGGCCGAGGTTGCGCAGCCAGAGACGGTCCATGTCCATGCGAAGCTCGGCGCGGAGGCCGTCGTAGCCATCGCGCTCGAACGCTGCCTTGTGCCGGCCGTATCCTAAAGCATTATTGTGGTTGCAGCTTCATGAAACGTAGCAAACCAGCAAGTTGTTCGTCCGCACCAATGCCGACCAAAAGGACTTTGACATTCGACGCGTACGGGGGGCGAGGGGCGGAATGGGGGGACATATCGTGGGGCGTCACCTGCGTGTGGTTGGCGCAAAGAGAGAGCCCTTGCACATGGGCATAAAGTGCATCGACGCCAAGGACACCCATCGCGATGAGCACCGCTCGCGCGGACGCACTCTCTTGCGGATGTCGGCTCGGAGCGAGCTTGGCCGCAAGCTTGTGCAGCTTCTGACAGCACGGTTTGCAGACGTTAAAGGCGCACGTCGGCTGGCGCTGCCGCGTGCACTTGGTCGCTGCGCAACGCGCGTCGACCGGCACGGCAAACCAAACGCAGTCGCTGGGGACTGCGGGGGTGTCGACCTCGGGGCGCTCGACCGCGAGGCAGCCGACGCCGCGGGCTAAAAACCAAAACGCCGTCCCAATGTTGAAGTCCATGTGCGTAACACAAGGCTATGCCATGAGCATCAATCGCACGATACGAGGTTGTGGGTCTCTTACCTGCATGCACGCGACCACGTCTGGCTGCGCGGCCGTGACGCTCTGCCCGTCAATGTCCATCTCGACCAATCGAAAGTCGCGCGTCGGAAACAAGCGCCGCAGCTCGTTCCACGAGACCACGGCCGCCTTACGGTCGGGTGACGCGTGCGCCGTGTCAAAGCACACGTTGTAGAGCTCGAGGGGCTCGTGCGGCGGCAGCGCGTGATGGGCCAGCGCCGCAAGCACGACCGAGTCGAGACCGCCAGAGAAGAGAATGCCGACGCTCGGTTCGTTGTGATTGCACGATGGAACTGACTCGAGCCGGATCGCTACGGCGCTGTAGAGTACGCTGAGCAGGCCTTTTGCAGCGCGCTGCATCGACAGAGACAGCGCGTCATCGAAGGCGAGCGCGTCGAGGGCGGCGGGTAGCGTCTGTGGCGGAGCCACCGCTGGCACCGACGGAGGCCAGGGAGCAAGGCCCGGTGACGCCATGCCATCGTTGTAGTAGAAGAGACCCGTGCACGGAATCTCCTTGCAAACCATCGTCGGATGCGCAATTGACGCGATGACGGCGACGTCGTCTGGACTGGACGGCATGTGCTCGAGCAAGCTGCGCCGACCCAAGCGGTCTCGACCGTACACGAGCGTCTCAGTGGCTTCGTGGAAGAAACAGAGTGCGAATGGGCCTTCTACGGACGCGAGCGCCTCGATGACGTGGGCGGCAACGAGCGCGGGGTCCGTGTCCGCCCGCGTCGCGTCAAAGAGGACTTGAGCGACAACCGCCGTGTCGCTAGAGCACGCTGGGATGGAGAGGCCACCAAACACTTCGCCGTTCCATAGCAATACGCTGCCGCTGGCGTCGAGGACGGGCTGCGTCGCCATGGTGGCACCGCGCAGATGGAGCACCGCGGCCGAGAGCACGACGGCAGCGCCGTTCTTGGACCGCTCGATCGAGCCAAAGTGATCGGGGCCGCGCCGAGCAATCGCAGCCTCCATATCGCGTTGGAGCTGGACGCAGGCGGGCGAGGCGACCGCCGCCGCCGACCCAAGGACGGCCGCAATCCCGCACATCAAAGCACCACCACGATACGCCGCGTGATTTGATTGGCTGCTCTATTTTATGTAGGCCAATCGCATCGTCGGATTTGGTATCCGCGAGAAAGGGCAATCTCCAGCGCGTCTCTTGATACGGCCGAGGACGACCAACCTGATGCAGAAGCCTTTCTTATTTCAAGGCATTATCAACGCAGCACCATCTTATCTACCTACGAGCGCTCACAAGGAGCCGTAGTTGACAGCGATGGTTTCTTCGAGTACGCTTGCCTCGCCGCTCGCTGCTTCGTCGGCCGTGACCTTCCAGAAACAGAGCAGCAATACCATCGCGATCGGGATACCACAGAGCGCTGTCTGCCAGAGCGTCGACGCGCCATACTCTTGGTAGATGTAGCCGCCAAGGAATGCGCCGAGGCCCGACCCAATGCCATTTTGAACCGCGTTGAGAATGCCCATCATGGTGCCATGCGAGTTGGGCGAGTTGCTCTTGACGAAGGTCGTGAAGGCAGTCCACATGAGGCCAAACGTGAGGCCCTGCAGCGCTTCGAACGGCAAGACCGCCCACACATTTGGTACAAACGCATAGACCGAGAGACGCACCGAGTATGCGAGGAGCGAGAGACCGATCGTCTTGGGAATGCCGCAAATGCGCACGATCGAGTCGGCAAAGAAGAAGACGGGGATCTCCGAGACCGTTTGGAGCAAGGTCGCGAGGCCCACAATCGCAGAGTTCTTCTCCGAGAGGTTGAAGAGGTACAGCATGAGGAAGCTGTTGATCGTGCCAAAGACAATGCCGACGACAAACACAATTGAAAAGAGCAGTCGCACCGACGTCGAGTGCAATATCGGCGCCAGCACCGTCGAGAGCGTCGGCGACTGCACCATGGGCGTGCCGTGGATGCGATACTCGACGTGCGGCAAGGGCACGAGGATCGCAATGGCTGCAAACGAGAGTGCGAGCTGCGTGCTAAAGATGACGTAGATACCGGTTGTCGCAATGAGGAGGCTCAGGCCGTACGCGCCGAGGCCGTAGCCGAGCGACCCAAAGAGCCGCTGGCGACCATAGTCGGCCTCGCGCAGCGCGAGCTGGTCGAGCATCGCATTGTTGGGCGAGTTTTGAAAAGCTGCGAGCGCAATCACAATGCAGAGGAACTGGAAATTGGACACAAACTGGACCGTAAAGTTGAGGACCGCGGCGGTCGCAATGCAGAGCGTGTGGATGAGCCTCTGGTGCTGGACGACGTCGGCGACGACGCCCCAGAACGGCGGCCCCACGACGTTGATGTACATGGGAATCGCCTGGAGCACGCCGATCTCGACCTTGCTAAAGTGGCCCACGTCCTGCAGAAAGACCTATCTCGGCGCGATGAGAAGGCGGAGGATGCGGCAAGTGGGCGCACCGCGAGGTAGCTGGCCGCCGACGACCCAGCGTAGTAGACAAAGTACGCGAGCTGGAGGCGCCAGCCCGCCGAGACGCGCGCGGTCGACGGGATCGAAGGCAGGTCCTCAAAGTTGACCTTGCGTCGCTCCATGCTGGACGGTCGCAATCTTGGAAATGGAAATCTACGGAACCATGGAGGCCGTGGCTAATATATCCATATCGCATTGAGATATGGATATTGGACGGTGTACCTGGTGCTCCAAACGACGATGGACGACGACTCGTGCTGCAGACATTAAGCCTTCAGGCTAGACGGGATGAGACTTGGGAAAATAGGAACGGCTTGCCTTTGTCGGGCGACACGGGTATATTGCAGAATGGTTACCTATGGCAGTATATGGACCCAGTCGGTCCATATATAAAACGCTCGTAGGATCCGGATAAAACTGTAGGATCCGGATAAAACTGAATGGGGCACGACTTCAACTTGAAGTGCCAGCGACTTGAAGAAGGTGGTGTGCGTATCCAGCGTTTATGGGGCTATTGTTGCGGAAATACTTGAGTAGTGTATGGACTCCTCGCACGCTGCCGCTGCAGTCTCAAGTTGAGACCAGGTTCTAGACGAGTTGCGACGCCAACCAGCCTCGCGG